GTTTTAATGAAGTTTAAGAGCCTGACCAGAGTGTGCTTCTTGGTATACTTTGTTTGATTGGTTAGGATCAGGGATTTATCCCACAGCTCTTTCCCTGCCCCCACTGGTCCCTTTTCACATTATACTTCTGGACCTATTTGCATCAACGTGAATACCAGCAGGAGTACTAGTGGCAGCTGTTTACCACTAACTAGGAAGCTGGCTTGGCAGGTGAAAACACCAGTTTTGTTGTTTTATTGTCACTTTGAATTTTTATCAAAATTTTACATTTGCAGAACTGCACATTGTTTTTTTTCTGCTGCAAATGCATTGCAAGATATGTAAAATATGCAAGCTGATTTTGATGGCTAATTTTTTGGTGACAATACTATTCATACTATAATAAGTGTGACCAAGAGAAATGTAAATTATATTTAGTCATACCAAATATCCAATCTCATACCAATACTTTACTGAACTCCACATGAACTTTTGACCAAAAGTTGGACAGTAAATGGATCTTTCTTTTGTCTTTATTTAATTTATGGTTAATAATGATCACAATGAACAATGCTAAGAAAATTTTATTTATTATGATTGTTTTTAATAGCTTGTAATATTTGGCTCACATTTAAGGAAAATTAATGAAACACTGATGTATTTTTTTTTTCTTCCATTTTCGAACCACCAACTTTCCACAAAGTGCCAACACGGCAATGCTCACCTTTTGCAACAATTTGGTAAATGGTAAAAGTATAAAAATAGTTAAAGCAAGATGTATATATTGATGTTTGAGAGGTGGTCTCTTGGTTTAGCTTGTAATGTGATTGTGATGAAATGCCCACTCTTCCTTGGCACGTATTATCAGTTATTTCTCTCCTCTAACTGCAAGCTTATGTTAGCATAAGGCTAATGCTTTCCGTTTTCATTGTATTCCGTGTCTCATCACCCAGATTTATAATATAGCCAGGTTTATTCATGTTTAAGGTTTAATAATCAGGCTGGATCATTGGTTTATCAGTATTTCACTATCATGGAAAATTGAGGCCAGGTCAGGAGAATGTGAAAGTTATATTGCTTTCTGCAGGCTTATTTACCCTGTTTTAATGAGCTAATTTTAGAATGAGAGTCATTCTTATTGTAAAGACGATGTACAGTGGGTACGGAAAGTATTCAGACCCCCTTAAATTTTTCACTCTTTGTTATATTGCAGCCATTTGCTAAAATCATTTAAGTTAATTTTTTTTCCTCATTAATGTACACACAGCACCCCATATTGACAGAAAAACACAGAATTGTAGCTAATTTTAGAATGAGAGTCATTCTTATTGTAAAGACGATGTATTTTAGAGTCAGCTAGGATTCATTTATGTGAAGAAAAAAAGTTCTTAATATTCTGTTATAGAATAGCATTAACATGCTAAGCTAAAGATTAAAAGCCACCAACTGTTTTGGACCTGAAGACATAAAATCTTTTAAAGTATAATGAGTAAAAATACTTTTAGGAGCTTTTAGTGGTGTTGAATTTTACACAGTGGCTACAAACTCTTGTTGTTGCATAAGCAGTGCATTTTAGAGCTTAAATGTACTTTTTTCTTTAAAACGCCAACAGGGCCATTGAAACAAAGTTGTAAAATGTGATGTTTTGTTCATCAAGACTCCCTCAAATTTGGATGATTATAAGAAATGTCAAAAATAGGCAAGTTAGCAAGCATTCTGTTACCAGTATATCCGTCCCTTACTGTGGGGGTTGCCTTGCCTTGCCCTTCCTTTGAGTGACAGGGACAGCCAGTCTCTCCTTTTGGTCATCAACAGGTTAATGCCTGCCATAAGGGTTTTCAGCATTGCATGTCATTGAATGGGCATGAGCATAATCATTTACTTGCATGAACATTGAATCCACAAACCCAATGTAGTAAAGAAACTCCAGAGTGGGAGGTATATCAAGCTTGCATTAACTTTGTGGAAGGACCACTGAGTAACAGGTGTGAAGTTGCATAAAATGCATCACTTTCCCATGATGCTTTGCAAAGAGACCAATTGGGAGTGGCTTGTTAGTGATGATGCAGACTAGACTCGAGGTATATAAACTAAAACAACTATGTTAGCAGTTCTGAGCTTGGAGCATTCCCAGCCTTGCCTCGGGTGTAGGGATTGCAAGGGAAAAGCAAAACTACACGGTTTAGACCCTGTGTAGTTTTGTTTTTTGGGTTATAACGGGGCCTAACCGTTCTCACCTTGGATTTTCTGGAAACATTTTGGATAAGAGGATTGTTGCTGAGGCACTAGCCACCTGGGCACAGTCCCATCAAGTGTAGGCAACCTTGTGATACAAGTAAGTGGCATTTACTCTGTAGAACACAGTCATTAAAGCAAGTCTTTTTATCAGCTACAATGATACATGCTTGCACACATTTTTAAAGCAAAATAAAAGTGCTGTTGCTTACAATGTGCTATTTGATTGAGTATGAGATAGTCTGTGTTACTTTTATAAAACATAATAATGCTCAAAGTTATTAAGTGGTCTGAAATGATTTCAGAATAGCCAAGAATAGCCTGTGATATTGTTGTTGCATAAGCAGTGCATTTTAGAGCTTAAATGTACTTTTTTTCTTTAAAACGCCAACAGGGCCATTGAAACAAAGTTGTAAAATGTGATGTTTTGTTCATCAAGACTCCCTCAAATTTGGATGATTATAAGAAATTTCAAAAATAGGCAAGTTAGCAAGCATTCTGTTACCAGTATATCCGTCCCTTACTGTGGGGGTTGCCTTGCCTTGCCTTTCCTTTGAGTGACAGGGACAGCCAGTCTCTCCTTTTGGTCATCAACAGGTTAATGCCTGCCATAAGGGTTTTCAGCATTGCATGTCATTGAATGGGCATGAGCATAATCATTTACTTGCATGAACATTGAATCCACAAACCCAATGTAGTAAAGAAACTCCAGAGTGGGAGGTATATCAAGCTTGCATTAACTTCTCGGAGGGGGACCATTGAGTAACAGGTGTGAGGTTGCGTAAAATGCATCACTTTCCCATGATGCTTTGCAAAGAGACCAATTGGGAGTGGCTTGTTAGTGATGATGCAGACTAGACTCGAGGTATATAAACTAAAACAACTATGTTAGCAGTTCTGAGCTTGGAGCATTCCCAGCCTTGCCTCGGGTGTAGGGATTGCAAGGGAAAAGCAAAACTACACGGTTTAGACCCTGTGTAGTTTTGTTTTTTGGGTTATAACGGGGCCTAACCGTTCTCACCTTGGATTTTCTGGAAACATTTTGGATAAGAGGATTGTTGCTGAGGCACTAGCCACCTGGGCACAGTCCCATCAAGTGTAGGCAACCTTGTGATACAAGTAAGTGGCATTTACTCTGTAGAACACAGTCATTAAAACAAGTCTTTTTATAAGCTACAATCATACATGCTTGCACACCTTTTTAAAGCAAAATAAAAGTGCTGTTGCTTACAATGTGCTATTTGATTGAGTATGAGATAGTCTGTGTTACTTTTATAAAACATAATAATGCTCAAAGTTATTAAGTGGTCTGAAATGATTTCAGAATAGCCAAGAATAGCCTGTGATAGCATTAGAGTGGTGACCCAGCTGGGCCATGAAGTCTTTTTAAGGGAATCCACAGCAGAGATATCAGTTGCACCTCCAGCTATGTGCCACATGGTGACTGTCAATCAAAGAAGGGACAGATTATTTTTGGAGACTGCCATTTCTGTCATAGTGAATATCAGCGTTCACACATGATGCCATTTAGTCAGAATTAAATTTGTATTGGCATTTAAAAAAAAAAAATCTATTATTGATATTTATTACACAAATAGTTTGACTCTGTGATTGCGAGTCAATGCTTGTCCGCTCTCACCTGTTGGTTTCTTCCGTATAGCTAATGATGCAGATGGCTTAACTGCGTGTAAATTCTTTCTTTCTTTCTTTCTTTCTTTGTGTTAAGCAGTTGTAATTTGAAACATCAGTTATATAGGTCTTATCCTGCTTTACTGTTAAAATATCTTGGCGATCAGGACTTTTTAGTTAAGTTAGTTATGTGTTTAGGTGTTTCATAGCCTTATCTTACAGCTCACAGTGCGCTGTTCACACATTTCTAACATATTCAATTGGGTGCTTGACCTGACACTCAACAGCTCTGCCATTCACAGTTCTCACAAATGACAGGCTGCTGATGGCCAGGTGTGGGTGGGGGCAGGGGGTGTTAGTGATTAGTCAGTTAATTTCTTTTACAGCTAAAAATAGCCCACCTAGTTTGTCAAGTAAATATATGTATATATAATTGATTCAGTTGGCATTAAGCAATTATCTGACTGTAATGTGGTATTCACTACTTGATTCTTTTTTTCCTAGGGTGCCTTCTACCATGTCAACACAAGCTCCAACATTCTTTCTTTCTTTGTGTTAAGCAGTTGTAATGATCTTTATTTGTCTGTAATTATTAAATTATCTTGTTGTTTTAGTGTTTATATGAGATGAGAGTCTAAACACAAATTATATTTTGTATTATGTATGGGAAATATCTATATGATACACGTGTGAAGCCGTTTGTAATGCTTGTATGTGTATTTTTTGTAGATTATTAAACTTTTGGAGTGAAGTGCGTGTAACCATGTCAAAATGCTCATTTTCATGTTATTTTGGATACCCTAAACCTGAAATGGGTTGGAAAAATATTGTTGATTTATTAACAATATTCCAAGCAAAGTCTATGAGTAGGATAAGATTTTCAGTTATATCACTATCACATTTTTAAGATATATATATAGATTATAATATATATATATATATAGCATTGTGGCACTTGAGGGTAGTGCTGCAACGTTCGAGGCTCAAGTTAGTGGTAAGCACAGAAGAAAAAAGTACATACATACTGCATGTTTTGGCATTGATAAAGGGCTACCTGAGCTTTACTGATTGGGCTGTGGGGGTATATAAGACAAAAAGATTGGAAAACACTGGCTAAAATCGATTATTTAATAATTTCTTCCACTATTTTTCTGTAGGTAATCCAGTTCCAGAGGTGAGCTGGTTTCGTGATGGCCAGGTTCTTACTGCTGCCGCTCTGCCCGGCGCTCAGATCTCGTTCAGCGATGGCCGCGCTGTTCTGATGATCCCCGCTGTGGCAGCCGCACACAGTGGAAGATTTTCTGTGAGAGCCACCAATGGTGCTGGACAAGCCACTAGCACTGCTGAACTGCTGGTTACAGGTAAGCAGTCATAGAAACAGCTGTGTACATTTCTGTCATTTTACTTTTTGTGCCAAACAAAAGTGTGTTTTTTTTTGTTCGTCTCAAAGTGGAAACTGCGCCACCAAACTTCATTCAGAGACTACAGAGTGTGACTGTTAGACAAGGAAGCCAAGTGAGACTGGATGTTCGAGTTGCAGGAATCCCTACACCTGTGGTGAAGTTCTACAGAGAGGGAGCTGAGATTCAGAGCTCTGCTGACTTTCAGATTGTTCAAGACGGAGACCTTTACAGTTTGTTGATTGCCGAGGCCTTCCCAGAAGATTCTGGAACTTATTCTGTCAGTGCTTCTAACAGCAGTGGACGTACTACCTCTACAGCTGAACTTCTGGTTCAAGGTTTGATTTGATTTCCAAATTAAATAAATTAACTTGATATTTTTTGATATAGGGTAGGCCTATACTATATAAATATATATGTGTATGTATGTATGCATGTATCTTTTTTATATGTGTATTTTTTACATTTCAGGTGAGGAGGTTGCAGTGCCTGCAAAGAAGACCAAGACTTTTGTTTCAACTTCTCAGATTTCACAGACTCGCCAGGCTAGAGTTGAAAAGGTAGTTAACATCCTGACAAAATCCCACCTAATGCTAACTGCCAAAGAACATGTTAACTCAGTGTTACATGTCCTTCACAGAGAATGGAGGCCTCCTTTGAGTCCGCAGCCATGATGGAAATGCAAATAGAGGATAGTGATTTGGCTCACAAGGCACCACCCTGTGTGCCTCCTAAGCCGACCTCCAAGTCCCCAACCCCACCGGGAGGAGTGTCAAAGGTCGCAGCTATGCGCCATCAGTCACCTTCCCCTGTGAGGCCTGTTAAAGCCCCCATTCACACACCTCACAGGTGAAGTATATTTTCAACACCATTACTACTTTTTAGTAGATACCTTTACATATACCAATACCTTGTATGAGTGCACATATTCCAAATAAATGAACTGAGCTCAATAGTGACATGTAATGTTTCCTTACCCACACTTATGAAAAAGTAAGTGCAATGATGATGTAATAAATTTGTGTTCTGTGCAACCAATGTTAACTTATCTTTACAGTAAATTAAACCTCTTTCTTATGTAGCATTTGTTCTTTGTTAATTCTTTTCCCCCCTTGTCTTATTTTTAGGCCTGCTTCCCCTTCAAGATTGTCCGTGTCCCCTATCAGACCAGTCAAGTCCCCAATGACTACACTCAAACAAGTCGCACAGGGTGCAGATGTACTGCCTCCATGGAAGCAGGAGGGTTACGTAGGAGAATCCAGTTATACCAGCATGACTACTGGGGCCTCATATGTCCAGACTTCCTCCACATTTGTCCACAAGGAGCAGCATTGGGAAGGTTCTTTTGCTATGCAACAACAAGCTGGTGGATTTGCTGTCAAAGAGGTAGGTCTATTTTTTGCAACTATGACCTCTAGTGGGTAAAAAGTGGCATTTTGTCTTTGTGATAATTTGAAATGGAAAATATTCATTACTTGAAGTTTTAAAGTAATGAATAACTACATTTTAAGTAAGAAATACAAAAATGCATTGAATAGAAATGTACCAAAAAACATGACAATGCTGCATTGCTCAATGCTGACAAAAGCTCATTTGAAGCCATTTCAGATCATTTGTCTTCTACTGCAAACAGATTGAGATTAAAAGGAGACCACACACAAATTAATGAGACTACTGTTAACCTGAAGTGTAAATGAAACCACGTCAGATCCAGTGGGGGCAGGAACGATTGTTTTCACACCTCATTGTCACACCTTAAATAGTCACGCTTTGTTTTGCATGTTAGCCCAGCAAGTTTCACCAACTTGCCATTTTGTAGTTTTGTAACTGATATTTAACATCAATTGGCAATACATTTTCATAAAGATTTTCTTCCATCTGAATAGATGTGTGATTGTTGCATACTATTTAACCACTTTCATCACAAAAGACAACACTTCTTATATAGTAAATCCGCTGTTAAAGGGATAGTTCACCCAAAAATTAAAATTTGATGTTTATCTGCTTACCCCCAGGGCATCCAAGATGTGGGTGACTTTGTTTCTTTAGTAGAACACAAACGAAGATTTTTAACTCAAACCGTTGCAGTCTGTCAGTCTTATTATAATGGAAGTGAATGGGAATCACGGCTTTGAGTAAAAAAAAACATACACAAACAAAACCAAATTAAACCCTGCGGCTCGTGACTATACATTGATGTGTAAAGACACGAAACGATCGGTCTGTGCAAGAAACTGAACAGTATTTATATGCTTTTTTTACCTCTGATGCACTGCAATGTCTGAATTGTCCTGAGCGCATCCTCGACAGCCGGCGCCTGACGCGTCTTGAAAATGCTGACACATTTACAGGGGCATCACACAATCTTATGCTGTTTTTTGTGTGTGTGTGTGTGTGTGTGTAGATTCATGTAGTTAATCTGATTGAAATCACTCTGAATGAATGCAAGTACAATATCGCCCCCTGCTTTTTGTCCATTGTAAACACAAGCTGTTCTGTACAGATCTCACCTGCTTCACTGGGGAATCATGCTCTTTCACCATCTTTTCTCTTTTATCCATCAATCATTGTGTCATATAACTGTTACGAACTGCTGATTTGTATTTGCTCTTCTATTTCAGCCCCACAAGCCTGAAAAGGCGTGAATGAAAAAGCTGCAAGAAAGATTAAAAATAATAATAATACTTTAATAATTTATACATTCGATTTGTTTCTTTTTGCAATCCAGATTGTTGAGACTGCAGCAATCCCATCCCTCACAAAAGAGCAAGTGATGCCTCCAACTATTGTGGCTGTGAGTTAATGAGCACTCAGTAATTTTTCCTCATTAAAAACTTATGTACACATGAAAGTATTAGTGTAAGTCCAATATGACTACTATTTTGGCTAGTATAAATTATAGAGTGCACCAATATGTGTCAGATATCTTGTAAAGTTTAAATATTTAATTCTGTTTTTACTTTGTCCAGGGTTTGAAGAACGTTACTGTCATCGAGGGAGAGTCTGTCACTCTGGAGTGCCAGATTTCAGGCCACCCTACCCCAGCCATTATGTGGTTCAGAGAGGATTACAGAATTGAGAACTCAATTGACTTCCAGATCACTTATGAAAACAGCTATGCCCACTTGGTGATCCGTGAGGCCTTTGCTGAAGATAGTGGCCGCTTCACTTGCACTGCTACCAGTGAGGCTGGAACTATCAGCACCTCTTGCTACCTGCTTGTTAAAGGTAACAGATCATGACATTTGACTTGTCTTAAAATGATATGACCTGTGTGATTGCAACCTGATTTGTACTGTTCAATTTTCATCTTCAGTGTCAGAAGACATTGAAAGTCGGGAGGATTTTTCTACTGTCTCTGAACACATTGAAATGTCTGCTCAGGAAAGACAGTAAGTTAATGGAAATCTTTGTGGTGTTATACTATATTAAATAGTATAATATTTGCAGTCTGAATCCTTGGTGTTTAAAAACAGGGTTACAGTTGAAGCCAAAGAGGAGACCATGTCTGAAATAAGTGCTGTCTCCGAGTCTGTGGAGGCTGGAGTTGCCCCATTCTTTGTGAAGAAACCCACAGTACAAAAGCTTGTGGAGGGAGACAGCATAGTCTTTGAGTGCCAAGTCGGAGGAAGCCCCAAGCCTCATATTTACTGGAAGAAGAGTGGAATTCCACTTACTACTGGATACAGGTATGTTTTAAACTGTACATATATACACTTTGTAATGTGAATTGTTTGTAACTCATTTTTACCATACTTTTTTTCATTTCTGTGAGTAAAAAGTACTCAGACTTGTTTATAATAAATAAGTGCATAAACAAATTATGTGCTAGTTTTATGTCTATTGTGACTAGGTTTTTATGTATTTTCTTCTGCTTTAATTCAGTTTCTATGATGCAAATATGTTAATATGAAAAAAACTCATGCATCTTCTAGGTACAGAGTAGCCTACAATAAGAACACAGGAGCATGCAAGCTTGAGATCTCCATGACATTTGCTGATGATGCTGGAGAATACACCATCTTTGCTAGAAACCCACTTGGAGAGATTTCTGCTTCAGCCATGCTGCTTGATGAAGGTTAGTTTTCTGGGTGGCTTTATTATAAATGGCAATAGTATGTTAGTTCAAATGTTAAACGTAGTGTTTTTCTGCATTTTACAGAGGCATATGAGCTGTATATGAAGAAACAGGAAGAGACATTCAAGACCGAAGTAACTACTATAATAGAGGAGCCAAAAGTGGCTGACATACCTGCTGTTGTTGAGACTGTAACTGAGAAAGAGCAGATGCTCATGCAGAGAAGGATGGCTCAACAAACCCAGATAATGCAGTCCTTCATTTCAGAGCAGGTATGAAAGATTTTAAGCTGCTAAATCCTATTTTAAAATCATACATCATACATGAAAACCAACTTAATTCACAAAGTGTGAGAATGAATCTTACAATTACATTTTTTACAGGAGTTACAAATATCTAACTTGGAGCAAAGATTCATCCAAGAAATTGAATTCCGCTTGCTGAAGATTACTTACCAGGAGCTGGTGATTGAGGATGGGGAGCAGTTCGATATGAGTGTTTCTGAACATGATGCTATTTATCCAGTCTTTAATACTCCAGTTAAAAGCTACAGACTCAGGGAGGGAATGAGTGCAACTTTTCATTGCAGGATGACAGGAACCCCTCTCCCTAAGGTAAGATTAAATTGTTATCTTTAAACGTATTCAATATTCATTCAACTAAGTTAGTATAACGTTTAAGCAATATCACTAGCAAAACTGCTATTGTACTGAATATTATGAATACCTGGCCTGTCAAAATAGAGGAATGGAATGAACTGTTGTATTATTTGAACTATAGATCATCTGGTACAAAGATGGCAAGCGTATCACACATGGAGGCCGTTATCAGATGGAGGTTCTGCAGGATGGTAGAGCCAGTCTGCGCCTTCCTACAGTGCTGTCAGAAGATGAGGGCATCTATACTGCTTTGGTCAGTAACATAAAGGGTAATGCTGTCAGCTCTGGAAAGCTGTATGTGGAGCCAACTGGTATAGCACAAACACAGCTTCCTCAGCCAGGGACAGTTCAAAGAATCAGGTAGGTTTTGACTTCTCAATCTGAGAAAATCACAGTTTGTAATATCACTACAGCAAATTACATGATATTGCAATAAGAGTACTTATCAGATCAAGATATTAAAAATACTTAATTTTTCAGGTCCACATCACCACGCTCCACAAGTCGTTCTCCTGGTCGATCACCTGCTCGTAGACTTGATGAGACAGACGAGGCCCAGCTAGAAAGACTCTACAAGCCTGTGTTTGTACAGAAGCCATCATCCTTCAAGTGCTCTGAGGGACAGACTGCAAGATTTGATCTGAAAGTAGTTGGGAGACCCATGCCTGAAACTTATTGGTTCCACAATGGTTAGTGATAACTGCATATCCCAGTTGTGTAGGAGGTTTTTAAACAATGGACATTCTTTTATTGCCATGGCACGACAACTGTACTTTTTCATCACAGGACAACAAGTGGTCAATGATTACACCCACAAGATTGTGGTAAAGGAGGATGGAACTCAGTCAATGATTGTGGTTCCTGCCATGCCTCAGGACTCTGGAGAGTGGACAGTTGTTGCTCAGAACAGAGCTGGAAAGACAACCGTATCTATGACTCTCACTGTTGAAGGTACAATGCTACATACACTACAGTTTCATTTAAAGAATGACTTTCTGTAAAACAGTCACTTCAGGCCAACTGCATTCTAAAGCGTTCTAACGGCATTTCTTCAATTTTACATTTTTGTCATGTTTAGCCAAGGAAAACTTGGTGAGACCACAATTTGTGGAAAAGCTAAGAAACATCAGCGTTAAAGAGGGTACTTTGGTTGAGCTAGCTGTTAAAGCTATTGGCAACCCCCTTCCTGACATTGTTTGGCTGAAGAACAGTGACATAATCTCCCCACATAAACACCCACATATTAGGTAAGTTTTCAATACTGAAAATATACAGGTGTAAGTAAATAATCAAAATGTTACTCTCTGTGATGATGTGCATGCTGTAAAAAATACATTTCTGTATTACAGTTAACTGAATTTACTTGTTTATTAGGATTGAGGGTGGTAAAGGCGAAGCTCATTTCAAGATTCCATCATGTACAGGATCTGATAGCGCATGGTACACTGCTACTGCTATTAACAAAGCTGGCAGAGATACCACACGCTGCAAAGTTAACATTGAGGTGGATGCAGTAATGCCTCAGCCTGAGAAAAAGCTTATCATTCCCAAGGGAACTTACAAGGCCAAAGAAATTGCTGCACCAGAGTTAGAGCCACTGCATCTTCGCTATGGTCAGGAACAGTGGGAAGATGGTGACCTCTATGATAAGGAGAAGCAACAGAAGCCTCACTTCAAAAAGAAGCTTACCTCAGTCAGGCTGAAGCGATTTGGACCTGCGCACTTTGAGTGTAGACTGACCCCTATTGGTGACCCGACCATGATTGTTGAGTGGCTGCATGATGGCAAGCCATTAGCAGCTGCTAACAGACTACGCATGGTCAGTGAGTTTGGCTATTGCAGTCTTGACTACGAATCTGCTTATTCCAGAGATAGCGGTGTCATTACTTGCAGAGCCACCAACAAGTTTGGAGCTGACCAGACCTCTGCTACACTAATTGTTAAAGATGAGAAAAGCCTTGTTGAGGAAACTCAGTTGCCAGAGGGAAGGCGAGGACAAAGAATAGATGAAATAGAACGTATTGCACATGAGGGTGGCCCTTCTGGAGTTACTGGAGATGATAATCTTGAAAAGACTAAGCCAGAGATTGTGTTACTTCCAGAACCAGTCAGAGTTACAGAGGGAGAAACAGCTAAATTCCGCTGTAGGGTGACCGGCTACCCTACCCCAAAAGTTAACTGGTACCTCAATGGACTGCTCATCTGCAAGAGTAAACGATTCAGACTTCACTTTGATGGTATTCACTACTTGGAAATTGTAGATGCCAAGCCCTATGATTCAGGGGATGTCAAAGTTTTGGCTGAAAACCCTGAAGGTGTTACTGAGCATCTTGTAAAATTTGAGATTCAGCAGAAGGAAGACTTCAGGTCAATCTTGCGTCGTGCACCTGAGGTTAAGGCTCCTGCTCCTGTACCAACACAAGAGCATGGTAGAGTCTCGTTTGAGGTTGTCAAAGCTGAGAAACCATCTGAGACCTCTAAAGAACCCAAGGAGGTGGTTAAGCTGAGGAAAACTGAGAGAGTAATCCATGAGAAATTAACAGAAGAAACAGAGGAGCTAAAAAGCAAATTTAAGCGTAGGACCCAGGAGGGCTACTATGAAGCAATAACTGCCGTAGAACTGAAGTCCCGCAAGAAGAATGAGTCCTATGAGGATATGCTGAAGAAGAGGAAAGAAGAACTTCTTCATCACGCAAAAGAACTAGGGCCTGATGCTGAGAGGAAGAAAGAAGAGGAGAGTAAACTCACCATTCCCAAAGTCAAACCAGAGAAAATTGTGCTCTCTCCAAGCATGGAGGCTCCTAAGATCATAGAACGGATTCAGAGCCAGACAGTTTGCCTGGGAGATGAAGTACACTTCCGCTGTAGAGTCACCGGTAAACCAGATCCAGAATGTCAGTGGTTCAAGAATGGTGTCTTATTGGAGAAGTCAGACCGAGTTTACTGGTATTGGCCAGAGGACCATGTCTGTGAATTAGTGATAAAAAATGTCTTAGCTGAGGACTCAGCAAGTATAATGATCAAAGCCATGAACATTGCTGGAGAGACCTCAAGCCATGCTTTCCTACTAGTTCAAGGTAAAATATTTTACCAACTTGTTGCTGTTTGCATGTTATCAATCCCATAAATGGTAAAAGTAATCTTCAGTCATTGTTCTTTGGCTTTGCTTTTAGGCAAACAAGTTGTTTCATTTACACAACTTCTAGAAGATCAGAATGCTAAAGAGAAGGACACCATGGTGACCTTTGAATGTGAGACGAACGAGCCATTTGTGAAGGTCAAATGGATGAAGAACAATGCAGAAATTTTCTCAGGTGACAAATACAGAATGCACTCTGACAGAAAGGTGCACTTCTTGTCAGTGCTGATCATTTCTATGAATGACGAAGCAGAGTACAGTTGTGTGGTTATTGACGATGACCACATAAGAACCAGTGCCTCACTTTATGTTGAAGGTCAGTACAACACAGTTTAATCTTCTTATACATCAGTGTTTTAACAGTTTTGTGCAGTTAATTATTTGGTCAAATAAAAAATAATAATAATTAATTATGTCTTACACAGGTGCACCACTTGAAATTGTAAAAAATCTTGAGAATACAGAAGTACCTGAGACATACTCTGGAGAGTTTGAGTGTGTTTTGTCCCGTGAGGATGCTGAAGGCACCTGGTATTTTGAGAACAAAGAAATCACTCCTAGCCTCAAATATGTTGTGTCTGCACGTCGTGGTCGTCATAGTCTTTCTGTGAAAGATGTTAGGAAGGAGGACCAGGGAAAATACACTTTCAAAGTGGGAGATCTTAAGACAAGTGCCTCCCTTAAGATGAAATGTGAGTACGAGGCAACCAAGATTAAAGTATTTAAAAGCATTTTTAGGCTACCACATTTTCTAGCAAAACTTCGGTTGTCATATAAATCTTACTTGAATATTTTTTGGTTCACTTTAGTGCGCCCTGTGACTCTGATGCAAGGTCTTTCTGACCTGACAATCTGTGAGGGTGATATTGCCCAACTTGAGGTGCGATTCTCTCAGGAAAATGTTGAGGGCTCATGGATGAAGAATGGCCAAGCCATTTCTGCTTCCGATAAGATTCACTTGGTCATTGACAAAGTCACCCATAAGCTACTCATTGAGGACGCCAGTAAGGATGATGCAGGAATGTACTCATTTGTTGTTCCTGCTCAGGATATTTCTACAAATGGAAAGCTAACAGTTCAAAGTAAGCCACCTTTTAACTCTAAATGAATGTTCAATGGGTTATCAAACATTGATTTCCATTTTCCTGAGAATAATGAGTTTTTTATTAATCATTTTGTTTCTTGCACAGCTATTGGCTTCTTGGCGCCACTAAAGGATGTTTCCACAGTGGAAGGCACTAAAGCTGTTCTTGAGGCTAAAATCTCTGCTACTGATATAACTTCAGTGAAGTGGTTTCACAACGACAAACTGGTGACAGCAAGTGATAGAGTCCAGATGGTTGTCAAAGGATCTAAACAGAGACTGGCTATTAACAGGACCTACGCATCAGATGAAGGACAGTATAAACTGATTGCTGGCAAAGTAGACTCAACCTGTAAACTTTCTGTCCAGCGTGAGTGTCACTCAAAATTTCTTTTATTATATATTCCTTTTCTTGATGTAATTGTTTTAAAATAATTGGTAATTATGTCATTGTTCATTGTGTTTTATAGCTGTATCTATTGTTAAGCACATGGAAGAGCGTGTTTGCACTGAGACCCAGAATGTCACATTTGAAGTGGAGGTATCTCATCCTGGCATTGATGCTCTCTGGACTTTCAAGGGTCAACCTTTAAAGGCAGGTCCAAAGTACAAGATTGAGAGCAAAGGTACACACTATAGCCTCACTGTTTTGAATGCCATGAAGGATGAGGAAGGAGAGTACATGTTTATGGCTGGTGAGAAGGAATCTAGAGCAAGACTTATTGTATCAGGTATGTAGACATTCAAATTGCTTTTTAAAAGTACATACTTTTTTGCCACCACGATATGGGAAACATGTCACTTATCTTGTTTTGATGTTTTATTTTTTATCTCTCCACTAGGTGGTGCTATAAATAGGCCACTCCATGATGTGACTGTAGCAGAATCCCAGACTGCTGAGCTGGAGTGTGAAGTTGCTAATCCTACTACAGAAGGCAAATGGCTTAAAGATGGTCACCCTATTGACTTCAGCGATAATATCATGAGTGAAAATAATGGTGCTGTCAGACGGCTTGTCATCGTCATCACCAGGCCACAGGATGTTGGAGAGTACACCTACCAGGTGGCAAACTCCAAGACATCTGGCAACTTGAAGGTTGAAGGTAAACCGTGCGTCACAGAATAGTTTATTTAATCTGTTAAAAGTTATTTATATGCAATTTCTTTCTTTTTTTAATTCAAGCTGTTAAAATCAGGAAGACAATGAAGAACCAAACTGTTACTGAAACCCAGGAGGCAGTGTTCAGTATTGAACTCACCCATTTAGATGTGAAAGGATCCCAGTGGATCAAGAATGGTGTTGAGATTCATCCAAGTGATAAATTTGAGATAACTGTCCAAGGCATGGTTCACACCCTGAAGATCAAGAACTGTAACACCCAAGATGAATCAGTCTATGGGTTCAAACTTGGAAAACTCTCTGCTAATGCCAGACTTAATGTTGAAAGTATGTTTTTTTTTTAATATCTTTCAAGTACTAATTAATTAAACCTGTCTGCTGTTGTTAGATGTATTTCAATACCCTTTAATCTCTTTTTAGCTATCAAAATTGTGAAAAAACCAAAGGATGTGACGTCACTGCTGGGTGCCACTGCTTCATTTGAGCTGAGTTTGTCCCATGATGACATTCCAGTTCAGTGGATGTTCAATAATCAGGAGCTTGCGCCAAGTACAAATATTAAAATACTGTCTGAGAGGAAAGCCCACAAACTTATCATTCAGAGTGTTGAAGGTCGCATGGCAGGTGAATACATTGCTGTGGTCGGGCATCTGCAGTGCAGTGCACATCTTCAAGTTGAATGTAAGTGTTTTGAGATTTTTTCTTTTAAATAGTGTTCACCTTAAATGTGAAATTTGGCATTCTAAATATGTTTTGTCTTTCTTGTATATATTCAGATTTGAGAGTTACCAAACCTTTGAAGAACATTGAGGTTCCAGAGACCCATGTGGCAACGTTTGAGTGTGAAGTTTCTCATTTCAATGTTCCATCGATCTGGCTGAAAAATAGAGTTGAGATTGAGATGAGCGAGAAGTTTGGCATTGTGGTGCATGGCAAACTTCATCAGCTGAAAGTCATGAATGCCAGTCAGGAGGATACTTCAGAATACACATTTGTGTGTGGAAATGACAAAGTGTCTGGTAACCTGACTGTAAAACGTGAGTAATACGTTGTCTGTAAACTTGAAATAAATATAAAATTACTATATACAGCATATTCACAAATGCATTTTAAAATCTTTCAGCAATTCTGATCACATCCATGCTTCAAGACCTCAATGCTAAAGAAAAAGACACGGTTACATTTGAGGTGACCGTCAACTATGAAGGCATCACCTACAAATGGCTGAAGAATGGAGTAGAAATCCGATCCAGTGATAGATGCCAAACTCGCTGCAAACAGTTCACTCACTCCCTTACTATTCGAAATGTTCACTTTGGGGATGGGGGAGACTACAAGTTTTTGGCTGGATCTGCTGAAACATCTGCAAAACTCTTTGTTGATGGTTAGTTTTGTTGTTATATTTACAGCTGCCTTTATGTAACTTAACAGATTGGCTAACAAAAATATGTTTTCCAGCTCGCGTGATTGAATTCACCAAGCACATTAAAGATATCAAGGTAACTGAGAAGAAGAAGGCTATATTTGAATGTGAGCTCTCTGAACCCAACGTCCCTGTGATGTGGATGAAGGATGGGCAGGAACTTGAGATGTCTGAGAGGTATATCTTCACTTTTAATGTCATGTACACTGCAGATTAATTATAAAACAAAAAAAAAATCTCTTAATCAATATCAGTATTTACATTATATTGACATAAAATTTTAAGACTTACTTAACAATAGTTTTTTCCTTGTTTAAAGAATAAATCTCACTAAATTTTGATTAATGCTTAAATTAAGAGAAGTACAAGTTTTAGGCCAAGATTTACTAACCGCTTGCGCCAGGTTATCTGCATCAGATTATCATCTGCTCTGCTTTATCCTACGCTAATTTGCACTGCTCTTGGTAGATTGTGTTGGTCGTTCTGAAAATGTCTGCGTCTGTGTTCTTTAATTTACACATTGTCAGTAGATCAGCCGCAGAACTGTTATGAATGTGCGGTCTCACGCCAATTTGCCCTGTATTGTAAATCTGGCCTTTAGTATATTATGCACTTTTGGTTCTTAAGTATAATTAATCTTGTTTTAAGGATATATCTATAGTTTTACTGCAAACAAAAAAAAATTGACTGATTAAGTGATTTTTTTTTTTGCAGTCTTTACGATGTCAACTCTGTCCATAAATTCCCTATTATTGTAGATTCAAAGCCACCACTGACAAATTCCTGCAGCGTTTGATGATCCAGACAGTGCGCATGTCTGATGCTGGAGAATACTCTGTGGTTGCTGGTGCAAGCGTTTCCAAGGCAAACCTCATAGTGGAGGGCAAGGATGTCCGCATCTCTGAGCCTGCTGAGAAGGACATCACTGTAACTATCCTTTGTCTTATTACAGTCAGTTGTTAAATATTATCTATGTTCCATGGCGAGACCTTTTCTCTCTTTTTTCATGCTTTCCAGGTGGTTGAGAAACAGAGGGCTACATTTGAATTTGAAGTGAATGAGGATGACATTGAAGGCCGCTGGCTGAAAAATGGTGTAGAAATTCAATCTTTTGATGAGCGCTTCAACTATGTGACAGTTAGAAAGACACATCGCTTGACAATCACTGAAACTTACAGAAGTGATGCTGGAGAATACACTTTCATTGCAGGAAAGAACAGGAGCACAGTCAATCTGCATGTCCAGAGTGAGTGTACAGTTCGGATATCTATAAATATATATAAATAAATTAGTGCTGTCAAACGATTAATCGCGATTAATCACATCCAAAATAAAAGCATACACGCATATATTATGTAAATGAAAACTTTTATTTTGGATGCGATTAATCGTTTGACACCACTAAAATAAATGTTCAGTTTATTTATTATATAGTCTGCTGTTCAAAAGTTTGAGGTTGGTAACATTCTTCAAATCTTTTTTTGTTGTTGTTGCATTTATTTAATCAGAAATACAGTGAACATCAATATTATGAAATATTAAATTTAAACTGTTTTCTATTTTAACATGTTTTAAAATTTATTTTATTCATGTGGATAGCAAAGCTATTTTCAGCCATTACTCCAGTCTTCAGTGCGGCATGTTCCTTCAGAAATTATTCTAATATGCTGATTTAGTGCTCAAGTAACATTATCACAGTTGAAAACCGTTGTACTGCATAATACTTTTGTGGAAACCATCATACACATTTTCAAGATGCTTTGATAAATAGGAAGTTGTAAAGAACAGCATCTCTCTATAAAAAATGTAATGATGGAAAAGGCTTTTCTGTCACTTTTGATCAATTTAATGCACCCTGACCTCAAAACAAATGATTGGTAGTGTGTACAATACTTAGGCTAATCTGAATATATGTCTTTAACTCCTTCTGTCAATGACATACCAGTATATTCCAATTGCATTGTATAGCTGTAGCCCATATAATTTCAGCTGTGAAGTTAATTGGCTTTGTCTAATATGTGTCTCAATTTAATTCAGTCCCCGAGCCTCCTCAGATCATCAGGGACATGGAGCCCTTGTCTGTTGAGGCTGGCAAACCTGCACGTTTCTCTGTGGAAGTGACAGGAATTCCTCAGCCTCAGGTATCCTGGTATAAGAACTCTCAGGCACTGTCTTCTGGGTTCAAGTGTAAGTTCCTGAGGGAGGGAAATGAGCACACATTGCTGCTTATCGAAGTCTTCCCAGAGGATGCAGCTCAGTACACCTGTGAAGCTAAGAATGACTATGGAGTAGCCACAAGCTCTGCGTCACTTAATGTGGAAGGTGAGATCATTATCAAACTGTTGTTTAAAACCAGTATTAGGTACTAGTTTTACATTCTTTCATATTACCAACAGTTTAACACAAACATGATTTTTGCGAACAGTTTCAGAAGTGGTTTCTCCAGACACGGTGGCTCCAGTTTCTCCACCAGTAATTATTACCTCATTGCAAAATACCTCTGCTGAAGAGGGAGAATCAGCCAGATTCCAGTGCCGTGTCTCTGGAGATGGTAAGGCTCAACCCTGTGAATTAAAACAATTGTGGAAAATAGAATATGTTTAAAATTTTTAATAAGCATGTATATATTTTTGTGAAGTTAACAAGCTTTTGTTTGATTTATGCAGATCTGAAGATTACCTGGTACTTCAGAGATAAGGAAATTGTGCAGTCTGACAACTTCAGAATCTCTCAGTTTGATGATAGCTGCCAGCTTGAGATCTCCAGAGCATATGTTGCAGATGCAGGAGAATACACATGTGTTGCACGCAATTCTGGGGGAATGGTCTCTTGCTCTGCTGTTTTGAACGTCAATGGTATGTGCAAACTTTTAGGTTCCTTCTCTCCAGACAATGCCATCTTTTTCTTGTTGAACAACCAGATTTCTTTCTTTTTTTCTTTCTTTCTTTCTTTTGTTTTTTTAGCATGTTCCATTGCTTAATGCGGGTTTTAGATGTCATGCATGATCAGGTCATTAACTTGAAATACACTTTGGACAAACTGTTTCTCATAGGGATTTCATTATTATTATGGATTTCACGATTTCACGTTCCACTACCATCTATGATCTTACCAAGACCAGGACCCCATGATTCACTGTGCATGTCAAAGGCATAGTTTTTCATCAATATTTATAGATCATTCAAGCACAATGTAGAAGAAGTGTTAACAGATACAAACTGCCTCGCCTCTCTTTCATTATTGAGAGAACTAACCACAGACCATTAATAACCAAGCTATATTTTTTCAATGAATGGTTTTCCCTCACAGCAAATCCATATAAATAACATTTTGAATGGAAGGCGCATTTTGCTTTTCATCATCCTAATGAATTGTGAAAACTCCTCTATGAAATTCTGCCATCTTTCACTACCTTTCCCCTACAGTAATAATCTATTATTTTTTAAATTAAATGGCATTTTGACATTTATAAATGTCTAATGTTATTTTTTTTATCGCTCAGATCTCAGTGTGAGAACAGTAGGTAGGCAAAGTGTTTCGAGCACTGGATTGACTCATTCGGAGATGGTCTCCTCCCAGACCATGAGTGAGACCTATTCTTCCACTATGCAAACTTTTGAAAGTGTCTCTACGGTGATGATGTCCACAACATCTGTTAAAAGCATTGAGGTCCAACAAGTTACCTCTGTGGAAGAATATTCTACAAGCCCCACTCTGACCCTGAAAATGAATGATGTCATTGTCAGCCTGGGTGATGTGGCTCAGTTCAACTGTTCCTTCAGTGGACAACCATTTACTGAAATTATCTGGGATCATAATGGAAGGACAATAACAAATACAGAAAGGGTGCAGTATGTACAACAAGGCGGGCTCATTTCTCTCATCATACTCAATGTCCATCTTGGGGACCAGGGAAGTTACTGCTGTACTGTTAAAAATAGAAAAGGTGAAAATCGAACGTCTGCACAGCTCACAGTGGAAGGTGGTTATAGATTTCGTTTTGTCCTTGATGCTCATTTCATCCCATCTGCTTCCTGCTGGTGTTTTGTTATTCTAAAATATGTTTCATGTGATTATAACCAACTTAAATTTTTAATTCAATTTACAATGTAATATCCCATGTAATCAATTTTAATACTTTAAATAGTTTAATCCTTCACATGCTTGGCCTAACATCATCCTCCATCTTACTAACCTTTTTGTTCTTATCAATGCTAAAATATCTTGTTGAATTACTGAATAATCCCTAATAAATTTCCCTAACTTTATTCTCACTCAGCTAAAGAAGCGAACCCCAAAGAAACCCTCGTACCCTCCGATTCTATCAGTAAATCTTCTAAAACTGAAAATGAGTCAAGTAAAAAGGCCACTGACCAAGAAAAGCAGGAGTCCTTACAGAATGTTGGAGCCCTGACAACAAAGTGGCAGATAAGCCGACATTACTATCCTGATGTTATCCCTTTGTTGGAGCGTGACATTTATGATGCAATTCAGCCAGACTTTCTTGTGAAACTGTCCCCAGAATTCCTTGCCAAACAAAGAGAGAGTGTTTCTCTTTATTATGTAATCAAAGGAAGCCCCTCTCCATTCGTTCTATGGCTACACAACCAGTTGAATGTTGAAGAGCCAAGGTCATACTCCTTGAAACATGATGGGCCCTTGTGCTGCTTAAATATAAAGAATATTGGTTCTGAGCAAGGGGGCACACATTCTTGCAAAGTTATCAATGCTGCGGGAGACAAAACATGCAGCACTCATCTCAGAGTGAAGACAGGTTTGCATTTGCATGCTTTGGTCTTTACCACCTTTTATGTTAGCCCTGGGCGCACATTTATTTTTTTTACTCATATATCCATTATTTTAAGTAGAAAGAGGAAAAAGAATGTGACATCTCTCAAAAAAGGAAAAACAATCACAACATGCAACTGTTGTCTCTGTAGGAGTCTGACAGTGACTGCATTGGACACTTGTCATAGGTGTTCTACAAGGGAGATGTGGTCCATTTTCATTATGTTTGAAGGAGAAAATGGGTTTATAATAATAAGAATGCACAGATACTAAAATACTACCCAGATACCTTGCTGTCACATATGTAATATTTGTTTTTGTTTTTTCAGTGTCTAAAGTGGATGAGGAGGCCAGTTATGAAGAGGAAGCCAAAGGTAAATGAATAAATACGAATTATGATTTCTTATCTTTTGTTTAGTTCTTTTCATTTTATTGTGAGGCTTTTTTCTGTATATATTTCTGTAAAAAAATAATTTTCCATTATTATGAATCTACAGGTTTTTCCAGTCACTAACAGAGTATCTTGATGTATAATATTTAGTATATATTATGATATATATTATGCATTTGTTCAATTGTTATGATATTAGGTTATGTATTAATTGTATTGAACCATTGCATCATTTTTTTATTTAGTGTTTTCTACCTCGACTATATCAACTGAGGAGGATTCTTGCGCAACAAGTCTTCATCTAAAAGAAAAAAGCAAAACATTTGAACTCCAGCCAGACTGTAAATTATTTTCAGAGCCATTAGAGAAAAAGCCAGAAAAGCCAGTTTTTGTAACTAAATTCTCATCAGCAATTGCAACTGTTGGAAACACAGCTAAGTTTACTGTGATAGTTTCTGGATTTCCTAGGCCAGTTATTCAGTGGTATCACAATGGCCAATTGATACAGTCCTCATCTTTTTATACGTTTGTCCAAGAGAAGGAAGAACATAGTCTTTTCATTACTAACATTACCAAAGAGTTGGAAGGAGAGTATTCTTGCACTGCGAGCAACCGATTTGGCAAGTCAACATGTACATCGTATCTTCATGTAAAGGTGAAGGACATAAAGGAGCAGGAAAAGACTTTTGGGCAGCCTCCACATTTCATCAAAGCAATTGAGCATGTGAAGTATGCAGCCGGTAGCCATGCTCTCTTTGAATACACCGTAGCAGGGGTTCCACTTCCTGATGTTCAGTGGTACAGGGGCAGCAATCATATGCAGCCTAGTAAGTACTGCATCATTGTGAACAACACAGATGGGTCTGGCTATTTAAAGATATTAGGCATTCAGCAAAGCGACAGTGGTCTTTACTCTTGTAGAGCATCTAATCCTCTTGGAGAAACCTCTTGCAGTGCAGAACTCATTGTATTCTTGGAGACATCTTCTGAAGCCACTGAATCACGTTTGTATAGTGTCAGTCTTCCAGAACAAGTCAGGACTAGCCTTCAGCAGGGACACCAGATGGTTTACACCACTAGCACTGAAGACAGGCAAACTGTTACAAGTGAGCAGACCGATACCTTGCATGCTTTAGATATATCTGCAGCCACTGTGCACTTGGAGCAGGTAACTCGCCAAGCTACAGTGATTCAATCTCATGATGTACAGGAGAGAGTAAAAGTTGCCCCTGCCCAGCCAAAGCCAGTGGTGGCAACTCCCCTGAAACAGCTGCATATGGCTGCAATAACCTCTGCTGTTCAAGAAAAACAAGGCTTTACTGAGCAGCACTGTGATCAGATTGTTAGTCCAGAAGTACGAGAGCTTGAATTGAGTGTTGAGGAGCCCTCAAACTTTATGTCTGCCATTTCAGAGAGTTCTACACCTCTTAGCATAGTGAAAGCGAAGGATTTGATAAAAAGTGAAACAGAAAAGATACAAACAACTTCAGAGCCAAAGTTTATTGTTAGTGGTCCTCAAGTTGAAATTAAGTTACCAATTCTACAAGAAGAATGCACAAAAATTAAAAGTCCTGAAGAGGAGAAAAGCTACAGAGTTGCAGAAGGGGTTAAGTTATTGTATACTGCAATATCATCAGAAAATGTAGCACTTACAGAAGATCATATTTCAGAGCTAGCAACTGTTGAGTCCATTGAATGTTTAGCAGAAAAAGAACAAGCCAAACCAGTGCTTACATCAGTCAGTGAGACTAAGCACACTCTCTTAAAAGAAAACAACTTTGAAATGCATAGACCAGTCAAGGAAACTGCTCAGCTCTCTAAAGAACCAATATTAAAATCAGCCCTGGTTACTGAAGAAAAGAACAAGCTTCAAGCTGACAAAACCACTGGCATACCTATACTGGAGCATCCTTTTTCAGTCCATTCCCAAAAAGAAGAGGATCAGGTGCTTCATTTACAGCTTATAAGTGATCAAGACACTCTTCTGTCTGAGGGCAGATTTACTACTGAGAAGCCAGGTTTCGAGCAGGCGGATGTCAAGCATATGCCAATTCTTTTGCACACAGTTTCTTATGATGACCAGAAAACAGTTTTTTATGAACAGGCAACACGGTTAGCATCCAAGGATACCACAATTGTTATAAAGCCTAGAGAAGAGGTTCCTGCCCGAATACATCTTCACTCAGTGCAGTCGAAAACCACTTTATGTAAAGAAGGGTTACTTTCAGTCGAAAAGCCAGATGAACAGAAAGCCATCCAGAGACAAGAAAAAAAACGTAAATTGGTAGCCACTAAAGAAGAACGTGTAGAACTAACTTCGGATTATGCCAAAGGTCTTGATGTGAAGGTAGAAGGTCTTAAGATTGAGCACAAAACAGAACCCAGACCCTTGAGTGTTCTTCAGGTAGTCTCACAGACTGTTCCGCTTTCGAAGGAAAGGCCTCTGGTCAGTGAAGTCAAGCCGCATAGTGCAATTGTGCAGAAAGAGGATTGGTGGAATAACATGCATGCAGCATCTGTGTCAGAATCTCATTCAATAGAAGAGGGTCTCACAGACAGTTTCAAAGCAGCTGAGAAATTCACTTGCGAGACAGATGTAGAAACGAAAGTACCGGTTCAGTCTCTTCATGTAGAAGAAAAAGCCATATCAATAGAAACTTTTGTTTCTCTTGAAGCAGCAGAGCAAGACTTTGCAGTTCAGATCCAAGAAGGTCAGTCCGTAAGGCAGTCAGTACTCATGGAGGAAAAACATACTCTGACAGGTGAAATGTCTCATGGATTTACTAAATCAGAGGCAACTAAAATAAACATTACAACTCAGCCACTCGAACCTCTTTTAGTAAGTGAATCGCAGGAAAGCAAAACTCTTCCAAAGGAACTTACCTTTGTAATTCCTGTACCGAAATCACACAGCTTGGACATCAAACAACAGTTGGAAATGACACTTCGATGTGCTGTGGCTTGTGAGCAGTCTTTGCTTTTGGCAGATGTAGTGAAAAAGTTAGAAGTCGTAGAAGTAAAGGAGGTCAAGGTGCATATGGAACCGAAATACATGATGTTCACTTACCTTATAACAACAGCTGGTCCACCCATAGAAATTACAATTGCCTTCCAAGGTGAATATGCCCAGACAGCAACTCTTAAAAATGAGCTTCATGCAGCTTTCTACTCTATGCTTAATCAGGAGAAACCAGTCTTGACCTCCGAACAGTCAAACATCTTAAAACTTGATAGACCTGAGAGATTGCAGGTTAGCAAAGCCACTCCATATTCATTGTCCTCAGCAGTTTTAACAGAAAATGTTGAAGTGTTTGCAACACCCAAAATGCAGTCTGCTGCTCTGCAAAAAGAAGCTGAAGTCTCTTTCCAGTCTGCAATATCTCAAAAGAAAACTGCTATCCAGGAGTTAAGGGACCATGTGACTCAGAAGACTGTTGAATCCAAAATGGACATTTATAGTTTCGCTGAGACTGAACACAGGGAAATTAAAACCGTTTCAGCTGAACATTATGAGAGAGTTGTGTGTGTTTCAGATATTACAGTTGATGCCCCTCACAGGCAAGTCACTGTAGAAGAGCCAATGGATGTTCTTATTCAAGAAGACAAACGAGAGGAAGTTTTAACAGAGGACGTTTTGACTAAGCATTTGACAGAAAAGCTCTTTTTTGAAATACTATTAAAAGACATAACTGCAGAGGAGAATTCCAAGGTTACATTGTCTGTGAGAGTAAAAGGTGTAAAAAGTGTAAACTGGCTTTTCAATGGAGTATTGATCAAATCTGGCAAAGAGTTCAAATGTTTAAAGGATCATGAATCTTACACACTAGTAATCACCAAAGTTATCAAGATGAAACATGAAGGTGAATATACCTGTGAGGCTGTGAGTGAAGCTGGCAAGATATCATCATCATCAAGGCTCACTGTTGTCTCAAGAGGTTGGACTGTGTGGATTTTGTCAGCTTACAAGAGATAGATAATTCTTAACAATTCAACTCAGACCATCACTAATTAACTAGTAGGCAGCTGCTACATCATCTTCCCATTAGTTCACCATTTATTTAAGAATTCTTTTCAAAAATACATTTTGTGTGCTAAACATCTTTCCACTCTCTTTCAAAATAATGGCACATTTTTCATCTTCTTCTGAGTTCTTCAAGCATGACCATGTCATGTGTGACTCTTCATCACCCTAACGCTAACGCTCACATCACTTTTTTCATGTCATCCCAAGATTACTGTTACCCTTCCTTTCCATCTGATATGTCACTCAAATCAGTTGTCATAATGTTGCCAATGTAATAATGTTTTGTATTTTTTCTCCTTGCACGTTTCAGCGCCTCCAGTTTTCAAGAAGAAGATTTGTGACATGCAGAGCAACATCGGCAGCCCAGTGAAGTTTGAATGTGAAATTGAAGAGACACCCAATGTGACCTTTAAGTGGTTCAAGTCTGGCTCAGAGATTAGACAGAGTGACAAATTCAGGATCATCAGCAGGCAAAGTACATCATCTCTAGAACTCCTCAACCCAACAAAGGATGACGTTGGTGAATACAGCTGTCGCGCTTCAAACAAGCACGGTAGTGACACCTGTTCTGCTAACCTGAGCTTCACTGGTGAGTAGCTGGTTTTGAATTTATATGCTTTGCTTTACCTGCTGGCAACTCTTTAACAAAGGTTACTGATTTTCAAGGTTTCAGTGTTTTTTTTTTCATCCTTTACATCCAATCTGCACTCTTCTGATTGACAGAGTTGTGTATGTTTTGTAATGCTATATAAATATATGTTGCATCTTATATTGTGTGTAGTGGTTATGAAATTTCTGAAGACAGAAATGTCAAATCTTTTAAGCTCTTCCTCTTAATGTTATTCTTTATATTCTCTCTTTTTTTAATTAATACAATTAATCCTCCTGGGATCAGTGCTACCTGTCTTTGTAACCATGTCTGAACCAGAGACTTGGAAATTTATGTGATAGTTTTATGATCTTTCCTTTATATTTTTTTCCATATTCATTTTACTAAAATGAGTACAAATGCTCTCTTCTGATTCAGTTCAGATATTTTGTACAGATATTATATACAGGTTACAAAATGTTTTTGGTGGCCTTATGTGGTAGAGATAGCTGATATAGACAAACTCAGATTGATTCCATTTCAAAAATGGATATTCAATTGTCTATTGAGTACATATTGGATTATAATTTTGGGAATTCATCTATTTCAGTCATGTGACGTTTTCCAGCTCATCCACCATGTTTATGACCATCAGTGGGGAAGAAAAAAAAAACTTGATCACTGAATTTGACCTTTAACAATCCCAGAAGCACAGACCATATCCAATTCAACGCTGTATAGCTGTGCTCTCTGTATGCTGGAGCTATATATTGAGATGGATTGTGGATAAAAATGTTTATAATATATATAAATGTTCTGTCAATGATTGTTAGATGTAGTTGAGTCTGTGCTAACTTGAGATCTGTAAAAATGTGTTCTGGGATCTGGGTATAGATCAAATCCAGTAATTGATGTTTTTTTTCTTGGTATCACTGTTCATGTGTTTTTATATTGACTGCCGTAACTTCTCTCTGTGGGTGGTCATAAATAAGAAGGATGAGCAGAAAAACCAACACTATGATTAAGGACGCAAGGAAGATTCATAACATAGTTGGCTTTCAAAAATGGCAAGACTAATCTAGAAGATAGTGAAAGATATTGCTTTGCTTGTAAGGTAGGGACAAAACCACTTTTCTTTGGTGACAGAATATGGCAAGTCCTTTTTAGAAAATGTGACCCAAGTGATAAATGTTCTGTGTTAGTTGATTTATGATGTGCTTTAGTGTATGTGTGAGTATGTGTACGGTGTACGGATGATAAAAATGCGGGTTATTCAGCACTTACCACCTACCCACAAAAGTATTTCCACACACCTTGCATTTCTTAGAATTGTGATGGTTTGTTTATGACTTGTCAAGGTCTTTGGTTAAATGGTTAAAGCAGGCATATCTGTACAACCACGCTGCAATAATGTCCACTTATCTGTACAACTGCACTATATAAAGGAGGCATAGTGAGGGATGGCCCCCCAAAATATAATATATATTTTTCTATTAGACAGTGGAAATGAAGCTGGTCTAGTGTTCCATTACTAGGTCGGCTATGAAAGGTTGTTATAGTTATTGTTACTAAAACGATCAATACTATTGAGTTCATGACTATGGTTATGCTGAAATCCATTTAATTTTTATTCTCAGAATCCCCACCCATCACTAAAGAATTACCTATGCTGGATGTAGTGAAGGTGACCGGTGCTTTATTTGGGAGTGAGCTCATTGGTACTGCCCCATTTGAAATAAACTTGTTGAAGAATAAGAGACATGCCAATTCTGACAAAACCATTTTTGAAGATTTAATTGAATATTTGGATACACATGCATTTGAAAGTTCAGATGTTGGGGAGTACCAATGTTGCCTATCAAACGAAGTTGGAAAAATCACCTCAAAATCAATTGCTATGATAAGAGGTTAGTATGCTTGAGAAAGACAAGAAAAGAATAATACCTGCAGGTTCCCAGCACTAACAGGTGTGTTACTAACAGGCAGCGCGGGCTACAATGGCTAGCTAAAACTGTTAACAATGCTTTCAAAATTAAGCAGTTGCTGTTGCCATTACTTATATGATTCAGTTCTAATCTTTCAAGGTTGACCTGCAATATCAACATTTTTAAAAGACTTTAATCAAAAAGAAAAACACCAGTGCAATACAATTAAAGGTAAAAGTACAGTACAACTTCTACAATTTCTGACTTTTTACATAGCTTTATATCGTATAAGGAAATGCTGATCACTCATACAACCTGCAAGTTCATTCTTGAGAACACAAACACACCAAATAATTGAAATAACTCTCACTGGTTTTATTAAACATTTTTTTCTATGTTCAGAAAATTGATGATCAAGAACTGACTGCATTAAGGTTTTTATTTTTTCACTGGATTATATGGGATTATTCTCTTCACTTCTTGATTGTTCTTCTGGCTTTGAATTTCCAAAAAGGCCGGTTGGTTTCCATACACCGATTCTTTGTCATAGAATCCACTCTTTACATACCTTACGATGAGACTGTGCGTTGGTATTGAATTATGCTGGAATAATTGGTTGTTCCACTTCTCTTGTTGTTAAAAGTTGGCAAAAGGATGCAGGATCTTGAGATAGTTGAACATGTTTTTTGCACTCTTTTAGATTGGACTGTGTTTTGCACACCTTTTCTATATTGGACAAAAATGCATTCTGCATTTTGAAGATCAAAGAAAAAATTATTGAAGAAAAAATGCATTTTGAAGATCAAATCTTATATTTTTTGATTCATGTTTGCTGTTGTCGAGTGATACAGTGCCTTCACATATCCCGTGTTTGTTATGTAATTGTAACTAAGGTTGTTTGGTTTAAGTTCGTTTTCTCTTCATCCGGATGTATTTGCCCTGCTTCATCTTCTTGTTGTGGATGTCAGAAACTATGGATTTTTTTTACTGGTTAAAGAATAATGAATCTCTTGACAATGGTTGCTAGTAAAATTGAATGCAAAACATCACTCTTGGAAAATGGTAAAGAAACAATGAACAAACTCTGCATCTTCTTAAAATCTTCTTATTCGAATCGGAACCACATGCCTTTCTGAAGAATATACCCAATTTCTTTGAAAAGGTGGTGAAATGGAAGAGGTTCAAGAGAAGTCTTGTGTTTGGAAGAAACTGAAAAGCGAGAGCAACTGCAACATTCTTCAAAAAGGACACATTCCATTCCATGTTCAGTCATTCTTTAAAGGATGAACGAGTGAAGGATGGCATACAATTTGTGACATTTTTACTGGAATACTGAAATTTCTTGTTTCTTGGATTCTGCAATGAAATAACCAGTCTAATAACTCTTGTTGGTCCTCAGTGTTTTACCTCTTACATGGAATGCAGAATTATGTAACAATGAAATGGCTGAGTAATGGAAAACAAATTTTTCCTTTTTTTAGAAAACTATTTTTGCAGATAATTCCGCAGTCTTGCAATACCTACATGAACAATACAGATACGGATGTCAGTATTATTGCAAAAATGTGTAATTCTTTAAATCAGATGCTGTTTACTGTGTTCTACATGGATTTCAGTTATTACTGCTATATTTAAATAACTTAGACTCTTAGAACTTAGACAGACCTGGAAATGACTCTTCTCTAATATTTAGGCCTATATATATTTTCCTGGACTAAAGCTTTTCAATCCTCTTCACCTCAGAGCCTGCCCACTTTGTGAAGAAGTTGACAGACCTATCTATTCCAATGAGCAAAAAACTAAGGCTTGAATGCACATTTACCGGAGCTCCAAAAATGTTTATCACGTGGTACAAGGATGGCAAACAGCTCTATGCTTCATATCGATGCAACACCAAAGTTACATCAAACTCCTGTATCCTGGAGTGTCTGCATGAGTGCAACAATGAGACTACAGGAAGATACTCGTGTGAAGTTTCAAACGTTTATGGGACGGATATATGTCATGCACAAGTAGTAGCAGTTACAGGTTTGTAATTTTTACTAGTCTCTTGCTTGCCCATTTTTCAAAGTTCCATACCCATGGATTTTGCCCATGGATATAAAAGGAATAGTTTGGTTGGTTTTGCAGCTTTGGACTGCATGTCACCTGGAATGGTGTAATTTTTGTTCATCAAAGTCTTTTTTGTTAAATTATTCAATTTTCAGTTAAATAATTTCTCAGTTTAAATGAAAGATATCAGTAATTAAAAACGCACAACTGGAAATGACACTTCTCTAATATGTAGGCCTACGGTATATATATTTTCATGGAGTAAAGCTTTTCAATCCTCTTCAACTCAGAACCTGCCCGCTTTGTGAAGAAGTTGACGGATCTCTCTATTCCAATGAGCAAAAAACTAAGGCTTGAATGCACATTTACCGGAGCTCCAAAAATGTTTATCACGTGGTACAAGGATGGCAAACAGCTCTATGCTTCATATCGATACAACACCAAAGTTACATCAAATTCCTGTATCCTGGAGTGTCTGCATGAGTGCAACAATGAGACTACAGGAAGATACTCGTGTGAAGTTTCAAACGTTTATGGGACGGATATATGTCATGCACAAGTAGTAGCAGTTACAGGTTTGTAATTTTTACTCGTCTCTTGCCTGCCCATTTTTCAAAGTTCCATACCCATGGATTTTGCCCATGGATATAAAAGGAATAGTTTGGTTGGTTTTGAGCTTTGGACCGCATGTCACCTGGAATGGTGTAATTTTTTGTTCATTATGAAGTTTTTTTTTTGTACCATTATTAAAATATTCTATTTGGGCTTCTTAGTTTAAGTTTAGTTTAGTGAAAGATTCCAGTAACTATAAACGCAGAACTGGAATAGGCACTTCTCTAATATAAAGGCCTATATATATTTTCCTGGACTAAAGCTTTTCAGTCCTCTTCACCTCAGAACCTGCCTGCTTTGTGAAGAAGTTGACAGATCTCCTTATTCCAAATAAACAAAAAACTAAGACTTGAATGCACATTTACTGGAGCTTCAAAAATGTTTGTCACTTGGTACAAGGATGGCAAACAGCTCTATGCTTCATATCGATGCAACACCAAAGTTACATCAAATTTCTGTATTCTGGAGTGTCTGCATGAGTGCAACAATGAGACTACAGGAAAATACTCATGTGAAGTTTCAAACATTTATGGAATGGATACAAGTCATGCACAAGTAGTGGCAGTTACAAGTTTGTAATTTGCACTGGACTCTTGCCTGCCTGTCTCCCAAAGTTCCATACCCATGGATATAAAATAAATAGTTTGATATTGCAGCGTTGGACCGCATTTCACCTGGAATGGTGAAATCATGGTTTTTTGGTCATCATGTTTTTTTTGGGGTTTGCAACAATATGATGTGCTGCTGTGACATTTTGCACGTTCATTGAAGTGGCTCAAGCATCTTAAATGAAGTCTATTTTGTTCTATATCAAGGATGCGATGGGAGCTGGCATGTTTTTGAGTGCTTGTTGTTGTGGGATATTGATCAACTTGAGTTTGCATCTGCAAATTTCCTGAGGCACGCTTGGAAGATACTGCATACTTCAACAGACTTGAAGAGTTGTTTCTAAAGTACAATCCGCATGTTTTAAAGGTTGATATGTTGCCTGTTTGTATAGTTCTTGTCGTTTTTAAGAAAATAATTTAAATGGATCTGATGATGTTCTTCTTAGAGCCTGCCCGCTTTGTGAAGAGGTTGACAGACATGGCTATTCCACTCAGTCAGAAACTGAGACTTCAGTGTACATTCACTGGAGCACCGAAGATGTTTGTCACATGGTACAAAGATGGAAAGCAACTGTACACCTCATACAGATACAACACAAGGATCATTGACAACACTTGCATCTTGGAATGCCTCCACGAATCTAACAATGAAACACCCGGAAAATACTCTTGTGAAGTATCAAATTCCTTTGGCACTGATATCTGTCATGCCAATATAACTACAGTTACAGGTTCATATGCCATCCTAGTTGACGTATTTACAGATATTTTTAATGTTTTGGCAGACATTGCTTAAAAATAATTTCGTTAATTTCTTGTTCTCAGAACCTGCCCGTTTTGAACAGAAGCTTAAGGACAAAAAAGTTGCCATGAGCAAAAAACTGAAGCTTGAGAGCACATTTACTGGAGCTCCTAAAATCTTTGTCACCTGGTACAAGGACGGCAAACAAATATATGCCTCTTACAGATACAATACTCAAGTTGTTGGAAACACCTGCACTCTAGAATGTCTACATGAATGCACAAAAGACACTCCTGGTATATACTCCTGTGCGGTGTCCAATTCTTATGGAAGTGATATCTGTCATGCTGAAGTGACCACCGTTTCTGGTTAGTACGCCTTTAGAGGCTCTTTATCCTAAAATTAGTGTTGGATGGAATTCTAGTTGATTCTCTAACCGAAGCCAGTGATTTGCAAGCATATTGATGATGCTCATCCAATATTGTTCCTCTTAGGACCTGCTCATTTTATGAAGAAGCTCACAAACCAGACTGTTCAGTGGGGACAAAAGTTGAGACTTGAATGCTCCTTCACAGGAATTGAAAAACTGTTTGTCACATGGTACAAGGATGACAAACAGGTCTATGCTTCATATAGATGCAACACAAAAGTAATTGGAAAAACTTGCATTTTGGAATATCTCCATGAGTGTGATGAGGATACTCCTGGAAAATATTCTTGTGAGGTTACAAATGAAGATGGATCAGATATTTGTCATGCGCTGGTCACCCTTGCGACAGGTTAGTTAACTGTAGTTAACTGTAATTTGAGTGAATTTGCAGATCAACCAACATTTCCATTCTTTCCATACGTTCCAATGCACTCCGTTTCTTTAATCTCAAAAGAGATCATCTTTCTCTAGATAAACTGCTAGAATTCATGAAACATGAAACACTGCCAGCATTTACAAAGGAAATATCATTACAAATTAAAAAAAAAAAGCAATTAGAGTATTTTATAGAAAAAAAACAGTAAATAAGCTCAAACTTAAAATTCAATGTAGAGTACACAGCGACTTTTGCTAGAATTCATGAAACATGAAACACTGCCAGCATTAAAAAGGAAATATCATTACAAATTTAAAAAAAAAAGCAATTAGAGTATTTTATAGAAAAAAAACAGTAAATAAGCTCAAACTTAAAATTCAATGTAGAGTACACAGCGACTTTTCAACAAGAGCACTGGTGCAAAATAGCCAAATGTAAACTATTGTTATTTTTTTAAAATATTGTTATTATTTATATATGATTATGTTTAGCAATGTTCATAATTAGCTTTTATTTTTATACTTCTTAATATTCATTTTAATTTTAGTTTTAATAATTGTGTTTTGTGCTTGTCATTTTTTGTGCTTTGTTAGTTTTTGTTTGTTACTTAAAAGTTATTTTAGATTTAGTTTTAGGTAGTGCTGGGTGGTATACCGGTTCATACCGAATACCGTTGTTTAGCACTAGTTTTAGGTTTAGTTTACCTCTTTATGTTCATAATTCAAATTTCACCTAATATTTATATTTTATTTTATTTTATTTTAGCTTGATTTCAATTAACAAAATTATTTTAATCATTCTAGTTTTGGTTAACAGTAACAACACTAACGTGAGAAACACTGTAGCAAAAATGCATTAAATTAAGCATTAAATACAGTTGTGGCTGCATAATGTAGTACACAGCTTACACTTCAGGCTTACATTTCATGTTAACTCTATAATATCACATTTAACAGACCTTGAGTAGTCTAATAAGACACTTTAGTCTCCTTTTCTGCTATAGATTTTTTGTACTTTTTATTTCTAAAAGTTAGATTGGAAGGTTAGATTGGAAGTGCCACAGGCAGGGGCATTGCAGAAATGAATCGTTTGGTCAAAGGATTGAGAAGACTAATACGAGAGACTGCAAAATTGAAAGTGTGGATAAAACTGCACGCCTAGCTATTCTGAAAGCCGAAAAGACAGATGCTTGTCTTGCCATGCAAGCAAAGAACTTGATTTTTAAAAAAAGAAAACAACAACACACGAGTTTCATTAAACCGTTTATGATATGTATTTTGATTATATATGTGACCTTGTGTGTGTAATGTGTTTTGTTTTCAGAGCGCAAAATTCCACCAACTTTCACTAAGAAACCCTCCGAGCACATTGAGGATGCCGAGGGAAAATTGGTGAAGCTTGAGGGTCGAGTATCTGGGTCACAGCCTCTATCTGTTAGCTGGTATAAAGACAATAGAGAAATCGACACTTCTGACATCTATGACATTTCCTTCAAGAGCAACACGGCTGTGATGTGTCTCAAGAAAGCCACAGTCACAAACAGTGGTGTTTATACATGCAGCGCTTCTAATGAAGCTGGCACTGTCTCCTTCCAGGTGGTGGTTAACATCACAGGTAGTAAATATTATCTTACTGCATGATTTCTTATTTCTCACTTGTCAAATTCCCTTTTCTTCTTTGCATGTTAGTTTCTGGTAATTCTGTTTCTGTGATGTGTATTACATTCCACTTTCTGTTGTACTGCATAAACGTGACCTCCCCTACTTTTCACTGAAAAGCATAGGTAAACATACTATAACGGTTCACTTTTTTAATATCTAGAACAAAAAAGGCCACCGACTTTTGACATTCCCCTTAAACAAGTGACAGTGAGTGAGGGAGAAAGGCTAAACCTTAGCTGCCATGTCTGCGGGTCTCCCCCAATGAAGATTCAGTGGATGAAGGACAGAAGGGAGGTCACATCCTCTGCTAACACCGAGATGATATTTGTGGATGGCACAGCCACCCTGGAGATAAACCAGACATCCAAAACTGATGCAGGAGATTATCTGTGCAAAGCAACCAACAGTGCTGGTAGTGAATTCTCCAAGACCAAAGTCACAATCAAAGGTAATTAGAATGCTATTGTAAATCTAACTTTTCTGTAATAATCATAATCAGTGCATATTTCAATGCAGCTAAATTAAAAATATAGCATGTAATAACCAAACTTATTCTTGGTTTGAATTCACATTTAATTAGTTTCTTTGTTTAATGTTCTACTTTTGGGTGTTATATTCTCAACTTTTCTAACAGTACCAAGTAGAGTTTAAGCTAATGTATGAATTTCTTATTTCATTGTCATGTGTTTCAGCATCTTTACCATCTTAATGATTTCCACATCTTGTTTTGTTTGCTCCTTAAGTGCGTTGGATCCATCTGATCTTGCTGCTTCTCACAAAGTTTTACATTTTTCATAGTGCACCACTAAGTTGCAGTGTTTTGCTGTGATCTTGATAATATTTTAAGAACATTTGTTTTCACATGCATATTTATTCTTGATTCACCAAGGATCTTTTTAGACATGCATTTTATCTGAACAGCAATGCTTAAGGCACCGACGCTTAGACTTACATAAATTGCTAACTAAGGTGCCCGAGTTTGAACTGTGAGCTTTATTATTTTTGTTAGTGGAGAGTTTTTGACAGTCTAAAGCATATGCACTAAACTTGTTAAAATGCTGAGATGTGCCTAGTATTCTTATCTAGATTTCAATCCATTTTTATAAGTTACTTAATCTGTTGTTACATTGTCGGTTTTAACTCAGATAAAGCAGGTGCAGCACCTGCAACAGCACCGGCAGCCCCCACAGCACCTCAAACAGTTAAAAAACGGGATAACTTGTTCTTCATTGAGGAGCCCAAGAGCATTCATGTTGTTGAGAGTAAGTTGCTGCGTTCTGCTGAACAGTGTAGATATGTCTTTTTATGATTAGTGTTAAATTTTGAATTACATGATGGAATCGCATCATATTCTGGATTACAGAGGGTACAGCTACCTTCATTGCTAAAGCTGGTGGTGATCCCATTCCCAATGTGAAATGGATGAAGGGCAAATGGAGACAAATGACTCATGGTGGTCGCGTCAACATTCAACAAAAAGGCCAAGAGGCCAAGCTAGAGATCAAAGAGGTGACCAAATCTGACTCTGGTCAGTACAGATGTGTTGCTTCAAACAAACATGGAGAAATTGAGTGCAGCACGGACTTGAATATTAATGAGAAGAAAGAGTCTGGACCAGAGGTGGTCAAACTGAAGAAGTGAGTCAGAAAATGTGGTTTTCCTTGGAAAAGCTCAAAATCACAATTCTGAAATGATTATAACCTTGCACTCTTTTTTTGATACGTTCAGGACTCCATCAAAGCAGAAAAGTCCAAAGGAAGACAAAGACATTGACATTGTTGAGTTGCTAAGAAATGTAGATCCAAAAGAGTATGAGAAATATGCTTGCATGTATGGAATCACAGACTTCCGGGGTCTCCTTCAAGCTATTGAGTTTCTGAAGAAGGAGAAGGGTGAAGAAAGTGGAAGACCGGTAGCTAAATCTATATTGTTTTGTCTTAATAGCTGATCAAAATCTTACGTTTTCCTACACCTTATTGAGATAGAAATCTACAACAAATAGCCTTAATCAGTGCCCTTGTTTTCTGAATCAGGAAAGTGAACATGGAAGAGAATATGATGAGGATTTGGCTAAGCTTGTGTCTGATTTGCAGAGGCGAATGGAACACAGTGAAGTATGTTCCTTCTTTGGGAAGTTGAAGAACCACTGCTTCAATTTTCAGACATATTTTAATTTGGATGCATATGCTAATCAGATGCATGTTGATGACCTAAATGTATGAATGTTTTGTTTTTGCAGCCTGTTACCCTGCTTAAAGACATCACAGATCAGACAACGCAAGTTAACAAAGAGGCAGTGTTTGAGTGTGAAATTAAAATCAACTATCCAGAAATTACACTGTCTTGGTATAAAGATACACAGAAGCTAGAAACTAGTGATAAATATGACATTAAACTCGTGGACGACTGTCAGATATTGAAGATCAAGAACTGTCAGACCAGTGACCAGGGAAATTACCGTGTCGTTTGTGGGCCACATATATCCAGTGCCAAACTGACAGTGTTGGGTAAGTCGATTTTAAAGACCTTGTATTCTGCATTCAAATACCATTTTTGTGCCTATAATAAATTGAGGCACATTACCTCAATATTCTACAGAGAGTCAAGATCATGTGCAGAAACCATCATCTGGTAAGAGGGTAGAATTGCATTGTAGTGGAGTGCTTATTGACACATATTATAGATTTATGTCTTATACCATATTCACTTCAATTAAATGATCAGAATGAGAAGGAGGGCCACATAAATTGCCCAATCATGTAAGGAAATTACTAACCTCTTCTTGTTTCTCTACCTACTAGCAAATGCTAAGCATCTTTTTATTTTTCCTCTTAGTGCTTTAAAATTGTTTGGCTATAGTGGTGTTGATTGTGTACCAACAAAGTGTTGGATTAAACAAAAAGTGTGTGCGTTTGAAAGCACATTTACATTTCTTCTTATTTCTTTCCTCTTTTCCTTTTTTAATTATTATTTTTATTTATTTAATTTGAAAACAGTGACATTTTGAGATAATTAACCATTCCAATATGTTTATGTTATTTCTAGCTGATCAAATTCAATTCACCAAGCGCATTCAAAATATTGAGGTGAATGAGCGTCAGTCTGCCACTTTTGAGTGCGAGTTGTCTTTTGACAATGCGGTCGTCACCTGGTATAAAGATGCATGGGAGCTTAAAGAAAGCCCAAAATATACCTTCAAGTGTGAGGGACAAAGGCACTTTATGATCATCCATAACGTTACGTCTGACGATGAAGGTGTGTACATTAGTCCTAATGTATTACTTAGTGGCTTAAATATAGAATTAAGCAGATTTAAACTAAATTAACTTCACTGGAAATCTTTTAGGCGTGTACTCTGTGATCGCGCGCCTGGAGCCTGTTGGTGAAACTAAAAGTACAGCTGAGCTTTATCTGTCAGGAAAAGGTAAAATCTACAGCAGCATCACTTTGTTGCTTGTTTACTAGAGTTTAGTCAACAGCAATTATATTTTATCTTCTTTTGCAGAATTTGAAATAAGAACATGTTCTTTTGGTAAGTGGTTTGTTATGCACTAAATAATTTCTGAGAATTAACCATCTCTAATTTACTCCTCAGTCCCCTACCCCAACTAATTTCTTTACAAATTCTGCAAAATGTAAAAGCAAACTTTATTCAATGAAACCATTAAATAATAATAATAATAAATTAATTAATAAATTAAATTAATCTCAACCTGTCCAGATGTTCTAGATACATCGATGCATGTGCCAGATGTGTCATCTGTGATTAGTTTTAAAGGTAAGACTACAACAAATAAAGAAATGTATAAATAGAAGACCATAATGTCCTATAGTTTCATTTTAACTTACCTGTTACCTTTTGATTAAAAGAAGAATCTTCAGAATTTCATTATGAAGAGAAGTTTGAAATAACAGGTACTATTTCAAATTAAAATTTATGTGTAATGTTTCTTAACCTTTAATATGTAAACTTGGTGAGTACATTAAATACACTAAAAGACTAAACACTAAATGTTTTCATCATGTCAACCCCTGAATGCATCGGATCACTAATATTACCATATCATTAGCACATTACCATTTAATCTCACCCTGGTATCATCTAAAGTGGATGTTTAATTAAAATACAACTAATGTAATATGATCATGTTCTAAAGTTGGTATTTCTTTCTTATTTTCTTTTTTGTTATCTTTGCATTTGCACTAACATCTGAGCTGAACGAGATTTTGTTGTTAACTGTTGTTACAGAATTTTATTTATTTTTTAAATAAAAAAATATATTTTTTTATTATTGTATGGTAGAGTGTCAGAACTGGACAGTTCAAGAGGAGAGTGTTACTTATGAGTTCTCTTCACTGCAAGGTACACTGTAGTTAACGGTCTTTAGTCTTTGTCTTAGTCTTTAACTAAGAGCATAACATTTTGCTCGTCTTATTTGTACAGTATGTGTGTGGGCTTTCTTCACTCATCTTCATGATAATTCTTTTTTACATATATTTTGTCAAATCTATTATGTGTATTCCTTGTCTTTTTGATATAACTGGCTATTAAACATCATCACCGCCTATCCCTTTCAATAACCATCTTCTCCATCATTTTCAATTTAGCATCATTAACATTTTTAATCCACAGGTATTGTGCTGCAAACCTTGTGTGTGTGTATGTTTGAAACTGAATTTGTGTGTCAATGTTCATGCCTAAGAATGTTCTTGTTTTTCATCAGAGTTGAAGAAACCCATTGAGGAGACTGTAACGAAACATGTAGTGAAAAGGACAGAGGAGGTCCCTATGAAAGGTATTGGATGAAGGAAAAATGCTTTGCTTATGGCTGTCCCTGATGATCTCTTAACATTTATATATGTAAAGCCAACCGCCTTTTTTACTCCAAAACTTACAACATGTTGTCTATACTGAATCAAAAACATTTAACATTTTTGGTTATTTCCTTGTCTGGGTGTTGTGTTTGTGTATTACTATTATTACTGTCACTGTGCAGTTGTTCATTGTATAATTGCTTTTTATGATTGGTCTCGGTTGTATGTCCATGAATGTGTTCTTCTAATGCTTGTGCAATCATGCTAAAAGCATGGACGCTTTGGCTACTTAAACTGCTTAAGCTTTGCAGTTGTATTTTTAAAAATCTGATGTCTTTTATGTACCTGAAGTTATGAAGCAACCAGAAGAGAAAACTGAAACATCCTTTGTACAGCCTCCAGTTCCTGAGAAAGGTATTATTATGTCTTTGCTTGAGTGTTATATTGTTCCACTGTTTCTTCCCTCTGTGTTCATTTTTTTTTCTACCAAAATATTTAAACCAAATCTGTTTTCCTATTTGTGAGATGTCTGTTTCTTACCATATAAATTGTGTTTGTGTACTTGTTGTATATGTAGCTCTTTGGTGTAAAGATTCATAATTTGCAACTTAATTTTATTTCTATGATGCCATGATATTTTTAAGAACCTGAAGTCAAGAAGCCTGTTGAGGAAAAAGTAACATCTGTCAAGGTGACAGAGCAAAAAGAACAACCCACACGCAAAGGTATTACCAGCAGTATGTGTTTTCAGTGTGTATTCTATTTTATATATGTTCTATGTATGTTGATTGTATGTATACATATGTTTATTTTTTCAGTTCAAATGTATGTATGTTATGTGTGTATGTTGATATGTGTGTAACTGTAATTTGCAGTTTCTTCTTGTCATTTTCTGGTTATTATGTAAAGTATTCTTAATGTCTTGGGATTCAAAATATCTTGCACACAGAAATTAAATATCTAAAGCTGCTGTTGTATAATTTCTGTTTGTGTTGTTAGTCTCCTTTGAGAATTTATAGCAATATCAGGTTTACTTAAAGATGTTCTCAAACCTACACCCTCAGAGCCTAAACCTCAGGTGCTAGCAGAACCAAAGGCTACAGTGGCTGAACCCAAGTCTGAGCCAAAAGCTCTACCCAAACCTGAGCCCACGCCTGAGCCCAAGCCTGAGCCAAAAACTCTACCGAAACCTGAGCCCATGCCTGTGCCCAAGCCTGAGCCAAAAGCTCTACTAAAACCTGAGCCCAAGCCTGAGCCAAAAGCTACACCAAAGCCTGAGTCTGAACCTAAGCCTGCAGTTGCAAAGAAAGTTGAGGCACCTTCTGTCAAAGGTATTATGTGTAATTGAATCATCTGTGATATTTTTGTGTGTGTTTGTTTTGTGAGTCAAGCACGTCTGTCTGTGTCAAGTACTGTATGTACGAGTGCCTTACTAAATTTGTTGTATGTTCAAGTCCTTAGACTCTTAGAATCAACCTCTTGTTCAACTTCAGAATATAAAGTTCTCTCTGCTTTATATTTTTGGGTTTACGGTATGCTTCTTTGTTTTTGGTGTTCTTTTAAAGCACCTGAAGCTCCAAAAAAGCCAGAAGCTGCACCTCAACCATCCTTAGACATTAAAAAAGATCAGGCTTTAACTCCAAAGCCAGGCACTACTCAAATAAAAGGTAACTTTAAATCTCAATAGCTAAGAAAATTACTTAGCATAAGTCTTGCAAGGGATCTTAAAACGATTTCATTTTTGTTTGTTGTCTGTATAAAACTTTGCCACCAAAAATGGTGCTCTTGGCAAGCATGTGAAACTCTTATCTTGATCTTTTAATTGATTCATTTCATTGTACGGGCTTCTGCATTCTAGTGTGAATGCCTGTCTTTATGTTTTATGACACTGTTTAACATGTGTGTTCTTTTGAAGCTTTTGTGGAGATCAAGGAAATAGAAGCACCAAAAGTAAAGCTAGAAAGAAAACCAGAGCCTGCACATGCTGCCACTGAGCCACCAAAGAAAGACGTCTCTACACTACTACCAGATGAATCTATCAAAGATCATTTGCCTGCCCACTCTGAGCCATCAAGTGTAGAGCCAGCTAGTCAGCTTAAAACTACACAAAGCCAGCCTCCTGAACCAGTTAGAAAACAAGTAGTCACAGCTTCACCAGAAGTTATAGTTGAACAAACAAGGAAACAACCTCCCCAAGAAGTTTTCAAAGCAGAGCCAGAGTCTTCAGCCAAACCTTCAGAGCCACCTCAAACAGATCAAGCTAAAAAGCAAGTGCCATCAAAGAGTGAGCCAACCCCTAAAATCAGTGAGCCAGCACTTGCTCACAAAAAGGAGGGTCGTCCACAGAAAGGTATTCTTAAGTCTTCATATTAAGCTCCTTATAATGCCTTGCATTAATGGGGTAGCAATCATTACAAACTCTCTTTAAAAGTGTCTTGTTATCTTATTTACTCTTCTTAATATGCTGTTCTTTGTCTGGTATTATTTTTATATTTACAAAGTGGTTGAAGTAAAGGCTGCAGAACTGCCATCTGAGAAAAAGCCTGTGACTAAAGCTAAAATGGAGACTGAGATTCCCTCAGCCAAAGGTATGCTCGGCTGGTCATAGGAGATACAAATCAAATTTGTATCTCTGCATTAATAGATCTGTTTCTGATACAAAAACAGATCTCCCACTATTTATAGCATAACCATTATTAACATTTTAATCATAGATAGCTGAAGAATTATTTGTAATATTATTACTATATTAATCTACTCTGGGTTAAATACATTTACCTTCAATAACCCAAGACAGAGAAAATATTGCATTCTGGCAATGCTGGAGAATTAAAGATTATTCCTAAAATCATGGAAATCGCCACTACGTAAGATGTTATTTTCACTTTTATTTTGCATTAACAAATGATCCTTTCTAGGTTAATGTAGAAAACTTAGAGATTTAAATGTGGAATTTACTTTTTGATGTTGGTATGCATGTTTTATTGAAAATTCTTCTGCCACCATTGCATGGTGCAATCTTGAAAATCTTTCATCTTTAAAGTCTTTGCAGCTTCTGAGAAGAAAACTGACCAATTTCCTCATACAGTGGAAGTAACTCAGAAGATTTCCATGGAGGAAATGTTTTTGAAGGAGGAAATTGTGGAAGAGAGTGAAAGCTTGCCACATCAACCTGAGGAAATTTTGTCTTATCAAGAGCATATTATAAGGATGGATGTGAGTCATCACAGTAGAGAATCAGCTGCTGAAGATGTAAAGATAATTAAAACAGAGGTTTCCCAGAGGCCAGAATCCTCTTTTGAGCTGAAAAAAACAAAGGAGATACCTGAGATGAAGTGGTCAAAACAAGAAATGCACACTGAGAAAAAGGAAAGGAAATTAGAGATGTCCAATGTTGAAACATTTCCAGAAGCTGTGGTGGTACTTGGCATTGAGACACCTCAGAAAAGGCAAGACATTATGCCAGATAAAAAGAAAACATCTGAAGATATGCCTCTACAAAATAGAGATGACACCCCTAGAAAAGAGCTGGCCATTCAGAGAGAAATAGATGTTCACAAGAAAGAGTCTATTCACTTACAGCAGTCTGTTCATGAAAACAAGCGATCACATGAGGAAACCCCTCAGAAATTACCAGAGACAACACCAATAATAAAACCAGAAGAAAAGGGAACTATGTTAAAGGAAGTGCGTAAAGCACTTGAAAGAGGTAAACCTTACAGTCTTCAGCAAATGCCTTGATTGGTATATTGCAATCTTTTCTTGAATTTTTTGTCTTCAGGTATTTGCCGAAAAGGCAACTTTGATTTACTTTTCTTTGTCTTATAAGTCATGTGCCTGCATGTTCCTCTTTAGTTTCTTGTATCTTGAATATGTTATAATTCTTAATTAGACAAGAAGACCCAGGCTGTTACAACAACTGTGACAGAAGTTGTTTCTCCTGCAAAAGGTACTCAAAGGAAGGCTGGAAGATTTGGTGCTATTACTCTTCAGTTTTTAGTTTAGTGTGTGATAATGTGTCCGTATGCTCATCTGTATATGTTCATGGTCTATTTCTTCATTGTGATCATGGCTTACTTTTATTTAAAGAACCAGAATTAGTGAAGAAACCTGAACCAGAAGTCCCAAAGCCAACTGTGGCTCCAGCTGAACAGAAAATATCGCCTCCATCAAAAGGTATACAGCAAATCTGGAAGAACCATTTTCTGCTATAAAAGTCAGTCTTTGATATCATGTATGTTTGTTTGTTTGTTTTGTATCTTCTTTTGTCATCATGTTTAGTCCAATTACACCTTATTCCACATGTGGCTTTATTATTTTTAAATATGATTATGGTATTGTCTTAATTAAAGAGCCAACTGTTGAAAGGAAAACATCACCTGAGGCACCAAAGCCAATTGTGACCCCAGTTGAACAGAAAATATTGCCTCCTTCAAAAGGTATTCAAAGTCACATTGTGGTAGAACTCTTTTCTGGTCTGTTTGTTAGTCTTTGGTATGTGTTTGCTTGTTTTGTTAGTCTAATCTTTTTCTGTGCTCATCTTTACATGTTCTTTGTCCAGTCAAATAACGTCTTAGTCCCATTTTTTATTTGTTATTCTTGCTTGTGATTTATGGCATTGTTTTATTTAAAGAGCCAACTATTGCAAAGAAACCAGTTCCTGAAGTACCAAAGCCAACTGTGGCTCCAGTACAACAGAAAGTAGTATCTCCTCCAAAAGGTATTTAAAGCAAACATGTCTTGCTGGTCTATAGTCTTTGGAATGAAGTGTTCTTATTTGTGTTCATCTTTAAATGTTCCATGTCCAGTCAAATAACATCTTATTCCACATTTGTCTTCATTATTTTTTGGTTGTAATTATGGTATTGTTTTATTTAAAGAGCCAACTGTTGAAAAGAAACCAGTTCCTGAAGTACCAAAGCCAACTGTGGCTCCAGTAGAACAGAAAATAGTATCTCCTCCAAAAGGTATATAAAGCAAACATTTTTGCTGGTCAATAGTCTTTGTAATAACGTGTGATTGTTTGTTCTTATTTGTGTTCTTCTTTAAATGTTTCTTGTCCAGTCAAATAACATCTTATTCCACATTTGCTTTCACAAATGTTGGTTGTGATTATGGTATTGTTTTATTTAAAGTGCCAACTGTTGAAAAGACACCATCTCCTGTGGCACCAGAGCCAACAGCAACTCCAATTGAACAGAAAGTCAATCCTCCCACAGGTAGAGTCTCTGTTTTCATGTCTTCGGTGTCAGTTTTTATTGTTGTTGGTGTTCCCTTTTGGGTTCTTAATGTGTCTTTGAGGTCTTGTGAATTCTACTTTTTAAAGTATCTTTTGAATCTTGTCACGTGATTACATGTTTGTCTTAAAATACTTACTAACCAATCTGACATGTTTCTTAACCAAAATTATGGATGAGAAGTGTCTACTTTTGTATTACAATTTGTTTAAACATTCACCTTAGGTTAGTATGCACATTCATAATGAGAAAATTATTTAAGCAAACTTTCACCTATTTTCTTAGCTCAAAGTACCTTCTTTCTTCAATGGACCCCAAAGGAAATGCTTCATAGAATGTCTGAGCAACTGTCTTTTATACAATGAAAGTGGACACGGACCAGGAACTGTCAAGTTCCAAAAAATAAAGGCGAAAAATGCATCATAGAAGTAGTCTATATGACTTGGGTTATATTCAGAGTTTTCTGAAGACATATGATCTCAGGAACAGATTAAAATTTAAGTTAATGACTGCAAATTTAACAGCCATGGTCACCATTCACTTTCATTGAATAAAAAGAACAGCTTGGACATAATGCTATAAATATTTCCTTTTGTATTCCACAGAAGACATAAAGTCATATAAAGCATTTTGAAAGATAAAACGGGAGTAAATGATGACAGAATTCAATTTTTTAAAGTGAATTCCATCTAACTTGTGTGTATTGATACCTGTTTAATCTGAAATGATCTCTGAAACAGATGCAGAAAAGGGCCCTGTTACAGCTCCTGGACCTGCTGGCAAAGGTATGTCGATGTGCGAGTTACATGCCACAAATGAACCTTCAAATGTTTGATTATTAAACATATTCAAATCAGTTATTCAGGCAACACATTTCACATGTCTGCTTGTTGTTCTGTTTGTTTTGTCTCATTTTTGTTAGCTTATTGTTTTGTTTTATTGTTCTTTTTCTTTATTTATTATTATTACAGTTCTGTTCACTACTATCAGGGTTGAGGTTTTATTTCATTTTAATTCCAACACTGATGACTTCGCTTCAACCCTGCTGTGTGATATGTGTACAGGTGTCTTATGTCATGCTGATTGTACTGTCCATGTTATGTGATATTGTGACCTTTATCGCCTCAGAAACAACTAGCACCACACAAGCACTTCTTAAACAAAAGAGTAAAATTCACATCAAGAAAGAGGAAAAACTGGACATGCCAACCGTAAAGAAAGTAACAAGAAGATCAAAAGAACATCCGGAAGATCATGAAGTTATATCACTTAAGAAAGTTGGCAAGATTCTGTGTGAAGAACCACCAACAGAAGAGGGACCACTTCTCCGGAAAGTTGAGAAAACTGAAATAGTTGGAGAGGAGATGGTGTATTCAAAGGCTGTTACTGAAATCAAACTCACCAGCAGCTATGAAGTCACAGAAGATACTTGGTCATATGAAACTGCTACAAAAACAGAGAAAATATCTAAAGGGGAGAAAAAGAAGACAGAACAATACAAGGATGTGAGGTCTCCCTCACAAGGGAAAACGATTGCTCCTGAAATTGGTGGAAGAGTAGAAGAAAATAAGGGTAAACAAGGAAGTACAATTCCAATGGAAGATGAACCTAAGATACCTCTGAAAAAGGCAACTAAGTCAATATCAACTGAGAAAGAACAGGAAACTGTAAAATTAAAACCTGTCGAAAAATTAGATAAGGTTGTTGTAGGTCCCCAGAAAGACAGCAACATAGACAGGAGCAAAGATAGTATTGGTGTCCAAAAACATGAAAGGCTTATAAAGGATGAGTCTGTTTCAAAAAAGAAGGAAATAGATGCGACACCTACAGATCAAAAAACTAAAGAACCCATAGTTCCAAATCCTTTTGTGGCTAAAGATGAAATCTCCAAAGAACCTGAGAAATTTCCAAAGGAAGCAAAGAGAATTCTACCACATGATGAGAAGCCAGAAACTGTTACTCTGAAACCATTTTCCAAAGAATTTCATGCTGATGTAGCCACTGACATGGTTCCTCAAGAGCAAACTGAGAAAAAGCCTGTAGACATTAAGCGTCCAGAGAGACCGGAAACGACACATATCATGAAGGACCCTCACATCCAGGTAAAAGAACCAGGAAAAAGTGAAAAAACATATGAAGAGGCTGAAAAGATCAGAAAGCTAGAGTCACCCCATGAGTATCAGCCCATGAAGAGTACTACTACTCCAGAAAAGACCCAGGAAGGTTCCAAAGAAGAGGGGAAGGGAATAACTAAAAAACTTATTATTCCAATGGATGAAATGAGAAAAGAAGAGGTATTGTTGAAACCTGTAGAAGGAAAAATAATTGCAGAGAAAACTCCTTCACCAAAGGTATATAAACCTAGTCTTCAAATCTCTCCACTGGCTAAAAAGAGTCCAAAAGAGGAAGATAAACCAGCAATGGCAAAACAATTTGGTCTTTCACCAAAGGAAATGGAGAGAGAAGAGGAAATATCATTGAAGCCTACAGAACCTGCAGGGCTAAAAAAGACTCTGTCACCAAAAGTGGGCATACAAAAACCTAAACCCACTGAATCCATTCCAATGGAAAGAAAGTCTAGTGCAAAATCACCCAAGAAGATTTCACCAAAAGATTCACTTGAGTCTGTAATTCTAAAGAAGGTCTCAAAGACAGTCTCCCCCAAAGAAGAAAAGACTACTCAGGAACCTCCCTTTAAAATGACTGAAGACAAACTGCCAATGGTAAAGGAGTTGTCTCCTAGTGTTTTGCATCTACAAAAGATTCCTACACAGCAAGAGGAGGTATTATATGAGCAAGAGCAGGAGGTGGTGGATGGTGAAGAAGAAGAAACTTGGGGATGGGAACTTGCTCCTAGGGACAGTTATGGATCCGAAACCTTTGATGACACCTTGGAGGATGGAGCTGTTGAAACCCCAGGAATGGGTGACAAGAAAGGTGAGCACCAAAAGCTCACCGCTGGTATCTTGTGGTTCCCTACAATCGTTCCAAATAATATCAACTCAACTCATCATCCGTTATTACCCCTTAACAAGTGTCTTCATTTTTAAGTGTTTAGCTGTCTTTGATGTTGTGTGTCCTTCCTTTGATTTATTAATTCTTAATTTTTTTGGTTCATCAAACCCTCTTGATAAAATGTTGTGTGTCAGTGAAGTCCTGTTCTGTCATGTAACTGTTTGTCAATCTCATTTTCATTCCTTCGTCTTTATTCATCATTTTCGTTGTGGGTGTCATTTGTCCTGGGCTGTTTTTCAAACTTGTTTTATTGTCTTTGTCTTTAAAATGCTCACATATATTATATCATTTGTGTATAATTTATTAACCAATCATTTCAGATCCTTTGCAGTTTTACCATTTCAAGCCTTGCTTAATAGTATAACAATATTTCAAACAGATGGAAAACCAAAGGAGGAGCCAGCTCCAGGCAGAGGCAGAGGACTTAGACGTACGTTCGTAATATACAGTACATGTGTAATATGCATTTGTAATGTTACAGTGCATATGTTAATTTTAAAGTTACAAAAGAATCATTTAAAATGGTGAAACTTTTGTGTGATCAGAAATGTAACATTTTTTCTTTTTTATTGTAGCAAGACAAACTCCATCTCCTGGTGATGCTGGAAGGGGTAGAGGGCTGAAACCTGGTGGTGGAGGTGACAAGCCTCCAGGAGAATCACCATTTGGTTTCCAGCTCAAAGCTGTCCCCTTGAAGTTTGTGAAGGAGCTCCAAGACATTGTGTTACAGGAGGCTGAGTCCATTGGCTCCTCTGCTGTATTTGAGTGCCATATCTCTCCATCTACTGCTATCACCACCTGGATGAAAGATGGAAGCAATCTAAGGGAGAGTCCAAAGCACAAATTCACATCTGATGGAAAAGACCGCAAACTGGCTATCATTGATGTTCAGCTTTCAGACACTGGAGAGTACACATGTGTTGCAAAGCTTGGCAACAAGGAGAAGACCTCAACAGCTAAACTTGTTGTAGAAGGTATTCATGACTGCTATTCTCAAAGCATCCTTTCTATTCATATAAAAAAATGAATATGGCGTCGCCTCTAAAGGCCATTAATTTTAATATGTTGGTACTAATAATGTATGATTGTTACAAGTGGCATTTCTTCTATCGTTTCATATAGAATTACCTGTGAAATTCACAAAGAATCTGGAAGAAGAGACCTCCGTGCTTAAGGGCCAGCCAATGTATTTGACCTGTGAGTTGAGCAAGGACAGAGATGTGGTCTGGAAGAAGAACGGACAAGAGATAAAGGAAATTCCTGGCAAAATTCAAATCAATGTTATTGGGCTACAGCGTGCCATCACAATCCAGGATGCGAATGATGATGATGCTGGTGTTTACACATGCGAGTGTGAAAACATCAAAACTCAAACTAATGTCAAGGTTATTGGTATGTATTTGATCTTTTTAACCTTCACAGCTTCCTAAATAGTTTGATAGATGATTATATGTCTTCTTTGGTGAATTTAGAGCCGGTGTGTGAATTTACCCATGTATGTATTCAACAGAAATTGTTAGAGACTGGTTAGTGAAACCTTTGCGGGACCAGCATGTGAAACCTAAGGCCACTGCTGCATTCAAAGGCGAGCTCTTCAAGGACACCCCTAACTGGAAGTGGTACAAGGGTAACGATGAAATCCCTAATGAGCCTACAGATAAGACTGAGGTGAAGAAGGAGGGTAAAGATATCTCTCTTACAATTAAAAATGCCCAGCCTGATGACATCGCTGAGTACGCTGTGGAGGTTGAAGGCCGCAGATATGCAGCAAAACTAACACTTGGAGGTAAAACAGCATCGCCATCTGAGGACTGTTGATTTCTGCATATATGACCATCTGAAAATGTTGTGTATAAACCTTTTAATCTCTATTCAGAGCGTGAAGCTGAGATCTTGAAGCCTCTTGCTAGTGTAGAGGTGGTTGAGAAAACGGAGGCCAACTTTGATACTGAAATTTCAGAGGATGATGTGCCTGGAGAATGGAAACTTAAAGGACAGGTTCTGACAAGATCACCGGTAAGACCTTATTCAAACCCCTCAGGTGTCCTAAAACATTAATCATCCCCAGTTTTGGGGAAGCTACTTTGAAACTGAGGCTTCCCAAGCTACAAACTAGTTATAATTTCAGTAGTTAAATAACCACTCTACCCATTTGGAGATGTAATTAAAAATAGCTATCCATGTAAAGCTATTTAAGAGGGTGATATCTTTTTAGATGATTTAAGTCAGTTTTATAATACATATATTCTTTATTGCCACACACACACAAAACACAATGCGGATCACAATTAAGATGACATAAGTATTTACACCAAAAGCATCTAGAAGTACAATTTTCTACTGAACAGTATTAATATCGGTATGTAATTTATTTATAGCACATCGTTCAAAAAATTAGCTGATTCACAATTTTCTTCTATTTTAGACATGTGACATCAGATCTGAGGGAACAAAACGATTCCTTACTATCAAAAACATTCAGCTTGATCAAGCTGGTGAAGTTACATACCAAGCTCTGAATGCTGTGACAAGTGCTATGCTCACAGTAAAAGGTAAGAGAAGAATGAATGTCTTTTTAAAAGCATAAGAAAATGTAAATTCAAATCTACAAATGCAGATGAGTGACAATATGGACAATGTTCATTCATGCCTACCAGAGTTGGAAATGGAGTTCACAGTCCCTTTGAAGGATGTTACTGTGTATGAAAAGAAACAGGCAAAGTTTGAGTGCTCCATCAATAAGGATGTGCCTAAAGTGATTTGGCTTAAGGGTTCTGATATTGTTACACAAGGAAATAAGTATGAAATCATTGATGACGGAAAGAAACACATACTCATTATAAATAACTGTGGCTTTGAGGATGAGGGTGAATACAGTATTGAGGTCTTGGGCAAATCATCAAAAGCAAAACTGATGGTAGAGGGTAAGTCGGTTATCATCTTGGTTAGTGAAGTGTTGGTCAAAATACTTTGACAAAATTTAACAAGGGTGTTTATTAATTAATAGTCTAACAAATAGCAAATAGAAAACAACACAGTTGCTAATAAATTCACATTTTCTAATAAATTCACTAATTTTCAAGTTTGTAGTATATTCATTTATTGCACCCATAGTCATTTGTTATGCACTGAACAAATGTCGTAGGTATGAGGCTGAACTTCACCTCAACATTAAAGGACCTAACTGTGAAGGAAGGTAAAACAGCTTTATTTGAGCTTGAACTCTCTCATGAGAATGTCGCCGTGACATGGTACAAAAATGAAATAAAAGTGCACCCAAGCAGAACCGTGTTCACCAGCGTGGTGGGAAGGAAACATATACTAGAAATTAAGGAAGTATCACTAGATGATACTTGCCTAATAAAAGCAGAGGCTAAAGGAATATCCACGATGGCTAAACTGCTCGTAATAGGTAATTTTACCTGTATTTCACCGTTTTTCACATTTATTTGATCAGCTGCACCTAATCTTGTTTCCCTCCTCATTGTCTCATTTTTGCATTACAACAAAACCTTTTTATGTAGGTTACTACTCGTATTTTAGTTTCTGAATATTAACACAGCAACCTGTTTTTACAGAGGGTGATGCAAATTTCACCACCAAGTTGCAAGATTACACCGCAGTTGAAAAAGATGAAGTCACATTTGACTGCGAGCTCAGTAGAGATGTTCCTGTGAAATGGTTCAAGAATGAAATTGAAATTAAAGCCTCCAAGATGGTGACCATGAAAGTTGAAGGCAAACGAAGAATACTCAATCTTAAGAAAGTTGAGAACAAAGACAAAGGATTATATGTTTGCGACTGTGGAACAGACAAGACTTCGGCCAACTTGAACATTGAAGGTCAGTAATTAAGGTTATATTCCTAAAATGTAATAACAGGGTTTCAAGTGGGTTTTACTTGTTAATTTTGTTCTTAATAAAATATTTTTAATTCCAGCTCGTGACATCAAAGTGGTGCGACCCATGTATGGTGTTGAGCTCTTTGATGGTGAGACGGCTCGTTTTGAGGTGGAAATCTCTGAAGATGATGTCCATGGCCAATGGAAACTGAAGGGCGAAGTCTTGTCCTCTTCACCTGTGAGCACAGCTGCATCAATAAATTCAGTAAACATCTTGCATAAACATGTAGCAAGATAATTGATATTTTTTCTCATGTGTTTTTTGCTAACAGGATGTTGAGATTATTGAGGATGGTGCAAAACACACATTAACACTCTTCAACTGCAAAGTTTCCCAATCTGGAGAGGTGGTCTTCCAGGGAGCGAATGCTAAGTGTTCTGCAAATCTTAAAGTGAAAGTGTATATATGCATGTACTTTAAAAAAAAACTATTAATGAAAAGGTAATTCAAGGTAATTCTTCCCGTCTGATCGAATCTTTCTGTTCACCTTTGTCATAGATTTGCCCATTTCTTTTGTAATGCCTTTGAACGATGTACAAGTCTATGAGAAAGATGATGCAAGATTTGAAATTGAACTGTCAAGAGAGGCTAAGGTCGTCCGTTGGCTAAAGGGATCTCAGGAGTTGAAGGCTGACGAAAAGTTTGAAATCCTCGCAGAAAGGAAAAGACACATTTTAGTGGTCAAATCTGCTGCCTATGAGGATGAGGCTAAGTACATGTTTGAGGCTGAGGACAAGAGGACATCAGCCAAACTTGTTATTCAGGGTAATGAAAAAAAATTTGATTGCACAGTAATCACATTTCCTTTTAGATTTTTTTCTGATAAATTTTTTCTGATCTGCATTTATCGTTCTACTCAGGTATCCGTCTTGAGTTTGTCAGACCCATTAAAGATGTCACCGTTAAAGAGCGTGAGACTGCAGAATTCAGGATTGAACTCTCTCATGAGAAGATTCAAGTCACCTGGTACAAGAATGATGTGCGTTTGCATCCAAGCAAAGTGGTGCACTTGTCCGAGGATGGCAAGATCCATACTCTGTCCTTCAAAGAGGTGTCTATTGATGACACTTCTCTAATTAAAGTTGAGGCCCTTGGTAAAAGCTCTGAAGCAATGCTCACTGTGCTTGGTAAGTGTTTAAAATGCTTTCTAATACATTTTATAATGACTTTAGTATAACTGACTACTGTTCTTGACAGTACATTGGTGCTGCTTTCATGTCTATTGTATCACTCTGCAGTCTCTCTTTTTTATACCAATACAAGTTACAATAGCTAATTGGCACCATCTAGTAACTTTGTTCCAAAACTTCTACTTACAAACTTCTGTGAAAATTGCAATCTGAGGAGATTCAGAATTAATTTTATGGTGAGCATAAATAATTTGATAGACAACTAAAAGCTCAAGAGTAAGAAAATGAAAACATCATTCACTCAGAAGAACAAGAAATATGAGGTGGATGACAGAGCTCTTAAAATAGAGGAAGCTAAATATGTTGGCTAACTAGTCCGTAGAGAAAATAACTTTGTCACCCTATGTGGGTTCAATTTTTAGTGTATTACATACAGGGCCTTTTTGTGGTAAATCATGTTTAAAAACTTAATGCCCTCCTCTATATCAACAGAGGGAGAAGCTTACTTCACCACCAAGTTACAGGACTACACTGCAGTTGAGAAGGATGAGGTTGTCCTGATGTGCGAAGTGAGCAAATCATCTGCTCAGGTGAAATGGTTGAAAGACGGCAAGGAAATCACTCCCTCTAAGAACGTCCTCATCAAGGCTGATGGAAAGAAACGTATCCTGACAGTGAAGAAGGCAGAGAAGGCCAACATTGGTGAATATGTGTGCGACTGTGTCTCTGACAAAACAGCTGCTAAGCTCAACATTGAAGGTATGTATTTTTAATGTATTTTATGTTTGTTTTATTAATCCATATATAGATTAATAGATTAAAATGTATCAAATTATTATGAACATCTATAACTTTGCCTCTCTCCTGTTCTTTGCAGAACGTGATATTAAAATGGTCCGTCCACTGTACAGCGTGGAGGTCACAGAGACAGAGACTGCTCGCTTTGAGACAGAAATCTCTGAGGAGGATGTTCATGGTAACTGGAAACTCAAAGAAGATGCCCTGCACCAGTCTGCCGTAAGGGATTCCTGAAATGAATGTTTTTATACACACACACACACACACACACACACATACATTATATATATAATTTTATATAAATATTTTTTTATATATTGTTTTCATATTATGTCAATATTTTCAGCCCCAAATAAATGTGTTTGTTTTATTCAGGACTGTGAAATTAAGGAGGAAGGCACCAAGCACATGCTTATCCTTTACAATGTTCGCATGGATATGGCTGGTGGTGTGGACTTCAGTGCTGCTAACGCTAAATCAAGTGCTCAGCTCAGAGTTAAAGGTGAGAATCCTCATAAGTGAATAAAAAATAAGCATTAAGAGCCATTATTATTTTTCAGAACAAAAATAACCTACTTGTGCAACATTTTTTTTTTTACATTGGCTAACAAACCAACCTGCATTCTTGTTTCACTGAAAAAAAAAACTTACAGATAACTTGGGATTAGTCAACAGCCAATCAGGGCTCAAGACTATTTTAGAAGCCCCATATCTTATCAGGAAAGGGTGGGGGTTATTGGCAGAGCTGAAACATGCCTCCTAGTTTATCTGACCACAGGCAGTGCATGGAATCTCAATATGCTAATGATATAGGATCCTGTGTCAATTTGAATAGTCCTTCTGACTGCAAATTGTGACTTAGTGATAGAGAACAATGAAAAATTGTAGTAGTAGGATAGTCTCTTGTTATTATTAAAGATGTCCATTTCCTCTTCTAAAGCACGCACAATTGGCCTCCTGCGACCTCTGCGGGATGTCACTGTCACTGCTGGAGAGACTGCTACCTTTGACTGTGAGCTCTCATATGAAGATATTCCGGTTGAATGGTTCGTTGGCCCAACAAAGATGGAGCCAAGTGACAGGGTGAGATTCTTTGCTTTATATTTTGTTAGATTTAATTGTTCATTTGAGCATCATAAATTTAGTTTTGTTCCTGTCTGGATTTTCATTGATTACATTGTGATTCGCTATGATGCTATACTTTTACAACAGACTATAGGTTAACTATACAGTACACACACATAGTATGTATATTTTGTTGTCTTAGGGTGACAATTGCAAGTGAAAAGTCTTTATATAAATACTTCCAGCAGTATTTGCTCAAAGTTTTGAGATAACGCTGGGCCATTCTGCCCTGCAGGCGCCCTTCTGGTTATTTTTAACTGCTTCAAGAGTGTTGTTGAAGTGGTGGTATAGTGAACTTCATAATCATTTAGACATTTCATAAAATATATATCTCTTTAATTGTAATGTTTGATTAAAAGGAAATATGCTTCTTATGTAATTATTTATAACATATATATATATATATATATATATATACTAACAATGCATTTGTTGTTTTTACATAGCTTTAATTAAACAGATAACTAAGAAAGAGGTTTGTTTTATTATTTAAAGGCACTTACTCATTTTTGTTGATTTTGCCATTTACTTAATTTTTCCTTTGCTTTCAGTTTATATAGTAAAAATGTGAAAAAAGAGCATTTGATAAAACCACTCAGTCTAAAAAACTATCCCACACTGTTTTATGCAGGTGGTCACCAGAGCAGAAGGAAGACTGCATTCTCTGACTGTAAGAGATGTCAAGATGACAGAGGCTGGGGAAGTGAAACTTACTGCAAAGGACTTTGTGACCCAGGCCAAACTTACTGTGAATGGTATGTTTTTTTTAAATAAATAAACACCCCATTGTTATTGTAGTATCATTGACATAATATTATATTTATTATTAATATTTTTAATTAGTTTTTATTTTAATATTTTTAATTTTTAGTTTTAGTAATTTTGTTGTGTATTCCCATAGCTAGTTTTTATTTTGTCTGTATAGTTTTTATTAATTATTATTGTAGTTTTCGTTATTTTATTAGTTTTGTATTATATTATATTATAATAATTAATGATATTATAATAATATAATATTATTATTTTTTATATTTAATCTTATTTATATTATTTAACATTCATTTTATTTCAAGGAACAATGATTTTATGATTGTAGTATGATTATGATTGCAGTATAAGTGTACTGTAATAACCCTAGAACACCTGTATTCCTATTGGATAGAAAATATAGGCATATATAGAGATTGCTTATGGTTTCAAATTACCACATTACATATCACAGAGCCACCAGTTGAGTTCACCAAGCCCTTGGAGGACCAGAATGTTGAGGAGGAAGCCACAGCCATTCTGGAGTGTGAACTGTCCAGGGAGAAGGCTGACGTGAAGTGGTTCAGAGACGGACAGGAAATCCGTAAAACCAAGAAGTATGAGATGGTGGCTGAGGGACGCATAAGGAGACTGATCATCAAGGACTGTAGCCTTGATGATTCCAAGACATATACCTGTGATGCAAAGGAGTTCAAGACATCTGCTTTCTTAAATGTTGAACGTAAGTTAAAAAACTTGAATAAGGCCAACTAAAGACATAAAATAACACAAATCATTTGTATAAAGCAAATGTATATATATATATATATATTTTTTTTTTTTTCAGCTCCATGCCAATACAGTAACAGAGTCAAGAGTTTTTACAGAGTCCAGAGGTCTGAGACTACTAGCAAAGCTGTGAATGATTTACATTTTAAATTTAATGCAATTGTTTTAATTACAAATTATATTATTAGCATGGCAATTTGAGTGAAAACTGAGCTAAAATATTTGCATGATTTCTAGAATTTCGTAGTATTTAAAATGTCTTTCTTTTACTTAAAAACAGTATGCACACAAAATCTGACGAAAAAAGAGTGGATTGATTCATAACTGTTTGTTGCACAGGTTCGCTGGTTCAAAGATGGCGCTGAGATCAGAAGAGGCAAAAAGTATGAGATTATTGCCAAGGGATTACAGCGTATTCTCATCATCAGCAAGGCAGTATTTGATGATGAAGCAGAATATGAATGTGATGCAAGGACATCCAAATCCTCTGGAATGCTGACAGTTGTCGGTAAGTTTTGTTTCAGCCATTGTTCTAAAAAATGTTCATTGTTCTAAAATCAAACTAAAAATAAAGACATTAATGATAATTCCTTTTGCCTGGCAGAGGAGGAAGATAGATTCACAAAGAACCTGTCCAATGTTGAGGGCACAGAAACCGACAGTATTAAGATGATTTGTGAGGTCTCCAAACCCAGTGCGGAGGTTACATGGTACAAGGGTGACCAGGAGATCCCAGAGGGTGGTAGATATGAACATGTTGCAGATGGGAGAAAGAGAATTCTCATTATACAGGACCTGCGTATGGATGATGCTGGCGAGTACCAGTGCAAACTGCCTGCTTCAGAAACAAAAGGAACTCTAAAGATCAGTGGTAAGTTTTAAGCTTAGATTGTTTCAAACTCGCTGTTATATTAAAGTCCTACTAGCTCGGGGTTCCCATGGTCATGTAAAACCTAGAAAAGCAAAGAATTTTAAAATTGTGATTTCCAGGCCTGGAAAAGTCATGGAATTTTCTAAAATTAATATATAGATTTCTAGCTATTAAATATTTTGTTTGCTCTTATTGAGTGCAATTTCTTTAAAATTGTTTTCGAAATTCAAGTTTATTGGTCAAAAGGTGTGGGAATCATGATGCACTAAATAATCACACTGATAATTTAATTAGGCATTGATTTACCTAAAATTGAGTCTCTTTATTGCTTTAGAATTGGCAGCTGAGTTCATTGCCAGGCCCCAAAACCAAGAGGCTGTTGAGGGCGAAAAGGCTGAGTTTGTTTGCTCAGTGTCTAAGGAAAATTATGAAGTCAAATGGTTCAAAGGAGACAAAGAACTTACAACTGATGATAAGTATGAAATTGTCAGTGATGGCAAGAGGAGGGCACTCATTGTCAAAAACTGCGAGGTAAAAGATGAGGGTGCATTCACTGCCCACATTGGCTCTGTAAAGGCTTCAGCAGACTTGTTGGTGATTGGTAAGTTTTTTGTTGTTGTTGTTGTTGTTAGTATATATTTCTGTAAAGGTCTTCAAATGTTTCATTCTGAATTGTCATATTAAACTGAACTAAATATGGGTACCATTACTTGTCTCATTAGAAAAACTGAGGATAATCACTCCCATCAAGGATACCCAAGTAAAGGAAGGACAAGAGATTGTTCTTAACTGCGAGGTGAACTCAGAGGGAGCTAAAGCCAAATGGCTGAAGAACAATGAGACAATGTTTGAGAGCAGCAAGTTTGTCATGGTTCAGAGAGACACTGTGTTCTCTCTGAGAATAAAAGCTGCAGAGAAGTCAGATAAAGCCAGCTATACCATTACACTGACTAACCAACGCGGAGAGCAGGACAAGTGCTCTGCTAACGTCATTGTACTAGGTGCGTTGTTATTATATGTCTGTCTTTTATACCATGTGTATTTTTTTTTCATGTGTACAATGCTGATAGACATTTTTTGTATCTCAGAGGAAGCCCTCAAGATCATTGAGCCACTAGAGGACTGTGAAATAGAGGAAAAGAAGACCATTACTTTCGCTTGCAAAGTGAACAGACCTAATGTGACAGTCCAGTGGATGAAGGCCGGTCAAGAGATCACTTTCAGCAAACGCATTCTGTATCGTGTGGACAAGGACAAGCACGCTCTGACCATTAAGGACTGCAGCCTTGCAGATGAGGGTGAATACAGTGTAGTTGCTGGCACGGATAAGTCCACAGCAGAACTGATCATTAGTGAGGCACCCACTGACTTCACCGCTCAGCTCAGAGATCAAACCATCACTGAATTTGAGGATGCCGAGTTCACTTGCAAATTATCTAAAGAAAAAGCCCATGTTAAATGGTACAGGAACGGACGTGAAATCAGAGAAGGACCAAGGTGAGTTTTGAACCATGAAACAAAGTACTCTGTAATAATGTAAAAAATGTTTGCTAATAGTCATGATCTCTTTTTTTTTTTCAGACATCATATGGAAAAAGATGGAAAAGAATGCAAGCTTGTAATCAAAGAGTGCAGACCAGATGATGAATGTGAATATGCCTGTGGAGTGGAAGACAAAAGGACAAGGGCATGTCTCTTTGTTGAAGGTATTTTTTCCCCAGCCTGTTCCTGTTATTTTTATAGCCTGATAATTTGATTTGCTAATGTCGTCTTTCTTCTCTTCCTTCAACAGAGATTCCAGTGGAAATTGTCAGGCCACCCACAGATGTATTTGAGCCTCCAAGATCAGATATTGTGTTTGAGGCTGAACTAAATAAGGACAGAGTTGAGGTCAAATGGATGAGGAACAACATGATCATTGTCCAGGGTGACAAATACCAGATGATCAGTGAGGGCAAAGTTCATAGATTGCAGGTCTGTGAGATCAGGCCCCGTGATCAGGGAGAATACAGAATTGTTGCCAAGGAGAAGGATGCCAGAGCCAAGCTTGAGCTTGCAGGTATGATACAGTGTTTCCATACTATTACTGCTGCTTTGGTTTTCATACAAAGGGATACTTTTGTTAATGTCTTATACCTTTCTTTACAGCTATTCCAAAGATCAAGACTACAGATCAGAACCTTGTAACAGATGCTGGAAAGCCTTTTGTCATGACGGTACCCTATGATGCTTATCCTCGTGCTGAGGCAGAATGGTTTTACCATGACATCAGCCTACCTGGGCAAAACATTGACACATCCAATGAAAGGACAGAGTACAGGCTGAAGGACCCTAAGAAGTCAGACCAGGGTCGTTACAAGATTGTCATCAAGAACAAACATGGAACAGGAGAGGCTTTCATTAATCTCGATGTCATTGGTAAGTAGGAAATCAAACTAGATGATTTACAGACAATTTAACTGTTCTGGATGTCTAATAAAAGTGGTGTTGTAGATGTTCCGGGACCTGTGAAGAACCTGCATGTTGTTGACACTGCTGATGGTGAGGTAAGCCTTGCTTGGGAAGAACCTGAAAGTGATGGTGGAAGCAAGATCTTGGCTTATGTGGTTGAGAGACGAGACGTCAAACGCAAGACCTGGACAATGGCCACAGACCGTGCCGACATTCCAGAGTACTGTGTTGGTGGATTGCAGAGAGACAACATGTATTTCTTCCGTGTATGTGCTCGCAATAGAGTTGGAAATGGAGAAACCGTTACTACTGATGAGGCTGTTCAAGCCAAAAACAAATTTGGTGAGCTATGCTTCAGTTTATTGCTTTATTTTCTGGTACGAGTTAAGAATGTAACAACTAATTTTATATTGTCTTAAAAATATTTTTAAATTATTCTTCTGCTTCTAACAGATGTGCCTGATGCACCTCAGAAGGTTATGGTTGGAGTTGTCAATCGGTTTGGTGCCACAGTTTCCTGGGAACCACCACTTTTTGATGGGGGATCTGAGATCACATCTTATATCATTGAACTACGCGACAGAACCTCTGTGAAATGGGAGCCTGCTATGGTGGTCAAAGCTGAGGATCGCACAGCCACACTCAATGATGTTGTTGAAAACAAGGAGTACATCTTTAGGGTCAGTGCTGAGAACAAAGCTGGAATTGGCCAGCCAAGCGCTGCCACAGATCCAGTGAAGATCATGGATCCCATTGGTTAGTAGGGTTTATATTTTGCTCGCTATGTCTTGAGTTGTTGCAAAAGTCAGTGTGAAACATTCAATTTTGTCTCCTATTACAGAGAGGCCAAGTCCACCTCTAAACTTCAACTACACAAATCAGACCAAAGACTCAGTTCAGCTGTCATGGGAAACACCCATCAGCAATGGAGGCAGTATGATTACAGGCTACATCATTGAGAAGTGTGAGGATGGTTCTGACAAGTGGCTGAGATGTAACGCTAGGCTTTGCCCTGACCTTTACTACAGGGTATGTCATGTTGTTTAAGTCTTGTGTTTTGGATTTAACAAAATTTATCGTCATATGAAAAGATTCTTTTGTTTTATGTGTTTATTTATGTATCCTACATCCTACATTAAGGTTTCTGGACTTAAGTTTGGTCAGAAGTATCACTACAGAGTATGTGCAGAAAATGCTGCTGGCATTTCTGATCCAGCTGATGCAATTGGGCCACTTTTGGCTGACGATCCTCATGGTAAGCCATTTTAAATTTCCCTTAAAGACAGGTAAAAATATACACGCACATAAGTTTAAATGTGTAAATTTCCTTTTCCACCTTTAGTGGGTCCCACCATGGACCTCAGTGGGTTCAAGAATGGTCTAGAAGTCATTGTTCCCAATGCTTTTGTCATCCGAGCTCCCATTACGGGATATCCTGTGCCAAAACCCAAGTGGACATTTGGTGACAAAGAGCTCACTGCAGGTGACCGTGTTTCCATGGTTACAAAGCCTACATACACCGAACTGATTGTTGCTCCAAGTGTGCGTCCAGACAAAGGAACGTACACATTACAATTGGAGAATGATGTGACATCTGTCTCTGGAGAGATCGAAGTCAATGTTATTGGTATGCAAATTTTCTTTCTACTATATTCTCCTACGATGTTGTTGTTTTTACACAGTAATTCATGTACAATCCCATTTTTGCATCTTTCAGCATGTCCAAGTGCACCCAAAGACTTCAAAGTTGCAGAGGTGACCAGACATCATGTGCATCTAATGTGGGAAGCACCAGATTATGATGGAGGCAGCCCTGTAAGTGGGTACAATGTAGAGAAAAGAGAGGTTTCCCGCAAGACCTGGGTTAAGGTGAGCGTTTTTTAACAGTTACTTGTTTACAGTATATGTACATTGTACATATTGAAACATTTAGGTTCAAAACATCTACTCTTCAGGTGATGTCAGGCGTACAGGACTTCGAGTACACTGTCACAGATGTCATTGAGGGCAAGGAGTACCTGTTCAGTGTTATTGCTTACAACAAATGTGGACCAGGAGAGCCAGCATACATTGATGAACCCGTGAATGTGTCCTCCCCAGCCAGTACGTCTTAAAAAGTGTTAAACTCTTTTAGTTTGAGGGGTATGAATTAAAGAACAGTTTGACAGTGAATGAAACTTCTTTGAAATACAGCTGTGCCTGACCCTCCTGAGAACCTGAAATGGAGAGACAAATCAGCAAAGAGCATCTTCCTGCTCTGGGAACCTCCCAGATATGATGGTGGTGCTACTGTCAAGGGCTACATTGTTGATAAATGCCAGCGTGGCACTGACAAATGGGAAGCCTGTGGAGATCCCATACCTGAACTTAAGTGAGTGGTGATTCTTCATGAGCATCCCTGTAATGGAACAGAGTGTGTTTAATAATTATTCAGATATATCTTTAATCGTTATCATTATACGTATCCCAGGTTCCAGGTGACTGGTCTTACTGAAGGTCAGTGGTATGCCTACCGTGTAAGAGCAGTGAACAGACTTGGAGCCAGCCGACCATGCAAGGCTACAGATGAGATACTGGCTGTAGATCCTAAAGGTTAGTGATCTAGGTCCACCAGTATAATAGTTAAATAATAGTTAGAATTCACTATATATTAACATTTTATTATATTACAGAGCCACCAGAAATCCAGCTGGATGTAAAGCTTCTAGCAGGCTTAACGGCTAGGGCTGGCACTAAGATTGACCTGCCTGTTGATGTGCTTGGCAAGCCAGAGCCAAGAGTAAAATGGACAAAGGCTGACCATGTCCTGAAACCAGATGATAGGATTACCATCGACACAAAACCTGGCCATTCCACACTTTCCATTACAAACACAACCAGATCTGACACAGCCACCTATATCATTGAGGCAGTCAACACTAGTGGCCGTGCCACTGCAACTGTTGATGTCAACATTCTTGGTATGGTGCTTTCTGTCATTTCAGCATAATCAAATTAAAGAAATCAGAGGTGATTATAAATATAATGTTAATGTCTTGTCATTATGTTGAAAAACAGACAAACCTGGCCCTCCAGCTGCTTTTGATATCTCTGAAATCACCAATGAATCCTGCTGTCTGGCCTGGAATGCCCCCAGAGATGATGGTGGCTCACCAGTAACCAATTACATTGTGGAGATGAGACCCACAGATAAAGAAGAGTGGCAGAAACTGTCTGCTACAATCAAACAAACTGTTTTCAAAGCCTCCAAACTCATTCCCATGAAGGAGTATGTCTTTAGAGTATCTGCTGAGAACCAGTATGGCATTGGGACACCTGCAGAGCATGTGCCTATTGTTGCAAAGTATTCATTTGGTAAGCATACAGCTCACTATATAATACATGTATGTATGTATGTATTTATTTATTTACAAAATTAATTATCTTTCTCTGTCACTCAGATACTCCTGGGGCACCAACCAGGGTTCAGCCTTCTGATATCACAAAGGATGCTGTAACTCTGACTTGGTATGAGCCTGATGAAGACGGTGGAAGCCCCATCACTGGTTACTGGGTTGAGAGGTTTGATCCGGAGACTGACAAATGGATCAGATGTAACAAGCTGCCAGTTAAGGACACATCGTACAGGTAGGATAATCCTTTTCATTGTGTCTGAATTTAAATGGTGACGGTAGTGCAAAACTCTAGAAAGTCTCAAATTAATGTCACCTTTTCAGGGTGAAAGGTTTGCCAACAAAGAAGAAGTACAAGTTCCGTGTTTTGGCTGAGAATCTTGCAGGACCAGGAAAGCCAAGTGCTGAGACTGACCCAGTTTTGATTAAAGACCCAATTGGTATGTTATGGTTTTATTTTTCAATGTTAAGGCAATTAAATAATAAACATTTGAAGTCATGAATCTCAATTGTTGTTATTTTAGATCCTCCTTGGGCTCCTGGGAAACCATTCATCAAAGACACTGCCAAGACTTCAGCAGACCTGCAGTGGACCAGACCTGAGCATGATGGCGGGGCTAAGATTGAGTCCTACATAATTGAGCTTCAAAAGAGTGGAACTGAGGAATGGGTTCGTGTAGCGGAGGATGTGCCAACAACAGAGCATTTATTGAAGGGTCTGATGGAGATGCAGGAGTATTCTTTCAGAGTCAAAGCCGTCAATGTTGCTGGAGAGAGTGAACCCAGTGACCCAAGTGACCCTGTTGTCTGCAAAGAGAGACTCTGTGAGTGTTTACCGAAGATTCGATAAGTGATTTGTTTAATAATTATGGTCATTACAGGCAACTATTATATATATCAAGATCATATCATCAAGAATGTATCTAGATATCAGTATCTACTGTAGATGTCAAAAAGCAAGACATTTAATTGTATGTATACGAGTTGAAGCGTGTCATTTTTTTTAATAATGGTTTAACCAGAATATTATCATAATATCAAACCCCAATTTTTAATACATTCTCTGATTTTTATATTCAACCTGCAATGATCTGTAAACAATAATATTATTTTTGTTATTCTCATTCCAACAGATCCTCCAAATGCCCCACGCTGGCTTGAGGTGGTTAACATTACTAAAATCAACTGTGACCTGAAATGGACTGAACCAGATAGTGATGGTGGCTCTCCAATTACCAACTATGTTGTTGAGAAGAGAGACGTCAGACGCAGAGCCTGGCAGGCTGTGGATACCACAGTGAAAGAAACCAAGTATACTGTCACGCCACTGAATGAAGGCTCTCTTTATGTGTTCCGTGTTGCTGCTGAGAATGCAGTTGGTGTAAGCGAGTTCTGTGAACTAGAGGACTCTGTTTTGGCCAAGGACACTTTCAGTAAGTTGAACAACATCTTTATCGGTAGCTATTTTATATATTTATGTGTGTGTGTGAGAGAGAGAGAGAGAGAGAGAGAGAGAGAGAAAAAGAGAGAGTTTTCATTAAAATGAGTCATTTTTGTCCTTTCTAGCAACCCCTGGACCACCCTACGCTTTGACTGTTGTTGAGGTGTCCAAGAGACATGTTGACCTGAAATGGGAGCCACCCAGTAGTGATGGTGGAAGACCCATAACCAAGTATGAACATTTTTAAGTATAAAACACTTGTTGTGTAAACTTCAAATAAAATGATGTGTACGCTTGTGGTGTTCAAGGCAAAAAAAAGTCTTATGAATCATTCTTTTCATAGGTATGTTATTGAGAAGAAAGAGAAGGTAGGCACGCGCTGGGTGAAGTCTGGAAAGACATCTGGCCCTGAATGCAAGTACAAGGTGACTGATGTTGATGAAGGCTCTGAGGTACAGTTCCAGGTCCGTGCTGAGAATGAAGCTGGAGTTGGTGACCCAAGTGAACCTACTGTTATCATGACCATTGAGGATCCCATAAGTATGTTAACTCAATACATAATTGCATAGCATGCAATTTACAACACTAACACTAGTGATAGAAGATTATGTACACACCATAATATGGATTGATTCATGTGGATTTTTAGGTCCACCTTCTCCTCCGCTTGAAGTCAAGATTGTTGATGCCAGCAGAGAGCACATCAACATTACATGGAAAGCTCCAGAAAAGAATGGTGGAAGTCCAGTCACAGGCTACCATGTTGAGCTGTCAGAAGCTGGAACTGAGAAGTGGATGAGGATTAATGCTCGTCCTGTCAAAGAGCTCAGGTTTAAGGCTGAGGAAGGCATCATTCCTGAGAAAAAATATGTTCTTAGAGTTCGTGCTATCAATGCTATTGGAGTCAGTGATCCCTCTGAAATTTCAGAGGGTGTCTTTGCCAAAGACCCTGACTGTAAGTACAATTCAGTTATTCATTGTGAATTAATGTATATAAGTGTCTGTGTGTGTGTGTATATACACTGTGTTCCAAATTATTATGCAAGTGACATCAATAGGATTTCGGTACAATAAAGAGTCAGATTTTTGTTTGCTTTGTTTTTCACATCTTTTTAGATGACTGGTATCAATCTCAGACAGGTTTGTTCAATATTTTGCCAGGTCTTCTTAGGTAAATGGAAACCCAGGTTGTTCCACATTATTAAAGGGGTCATATGATGCGATTTCATTTTTTCCTTTCTCTTTAGAGTGTTACAAGCTCTTGGTGCATAAAGAAGATCTGTAAAGTTGCAAAGACTAAAGTCTCAAATCCAAAGAGATATTCTTTATAAAAGTTAAGAGTTAGCCACACCTACCTAAAACGGCTCGTTCGAACACGCCCCCACATATCTACCTCACTATGTGGGAAGCAAACAAATGAACTGTATTGTAATACCAGCGGTAAAAAAAAGCCACTGCTGAGCAGCAAACAGGTGTTTGAAGCTACTGGAGTCTCAAGATCCTCTCCATGCAGACAGGCAGTTGTGTGTAAAGCTGCGTTTCAGTCACTGCTAACCAAACCTCACAAAGAAACCTGCACAGTTGC